TGGCTTCGCGGTGCAAGCTGGGATCTCGGCGGACCCGGACTCAGAACACCGGAGACCATCCCCGGGACCTGGGCGCACGTGGGCTGGTGAAACCGGGGAGACCCGGCAGCGTGTTACCTATAAACAACGTTGTGTGGGTCGAGTGTATTACTCATGCTAGCTTATTTCATTTATTCATTCCAAGAATCTTCACATCTGTTGTGTGCCCAGAACTATGCTAAGGTCTAGACATTCACTGGCCTAAAACGGTGCCTGATATTTAGGAGGCACCCATTAAGTGCATATTTAATGTTGCAAGTGGGAGGAAGGCTAAGCTATCACTCTGATTCCACCAGGACCCGAGACAGGGCTGGTTGGGATAGACGTCAGGAAAAATTTCCAAGTTATAGGTCCTTGAGACTTAGGGAGCTTGAAGGGAAAAGAGAACATGTTCTGATAAGCTTCCACCCACATTAGTGAACTAGTCTCTCAATCTGCTAAGAAATAAGTCCAGGAACTGGTGCTCCTTAGACCACCAGCTTCCTGCAGCATCTGCCAGGTGTGACCACATCTTCCCTCTTGAAATCCTATCCTGTTTTGCGGCTTCAGGGGTTCAGCTGCGAAGGGGCTGTTTAGAGGCAGAAGGTGGTTCTGCTTTTTGGGACTCTCAACAGGTCAACTTCACGTATCCCTATTCTCAGGTCACCCAGAAGGGACCTTACCAGCGGAATTCCCCGTATATAAGATAGATCCAGAGGAAGTCGACAGCGGCCCTCCCAGAACCAATAAAAAAGAGGCGCGCACGTCTGGCCTCTTCCCCTTCCCGGATCGGGACCCTTCCTTTTTCCTTCTGGGTCTGATTTCTTCACCTTTGCTGAATTTCTATCCTGAATCCTACGCCGTCGCCGGCTCACTCCTATTGACTCGGCTCACTGCCACCCTCATAATTGTCGCCGTCTCTGTGGCGCAATCGGTTAGCGCGTTCGGCTGTTAACCGAAAGGTTGGTGGTTCGAGCCCACCCAGGGACGTAGTTTTCTCACTCCTGGTAGAAAAAAGGGAGATCTAAACGTTACTCTCCCGACTGCGGAAAAAAACAAATTTCGTACTGAAATGGCAGAAACAATACTTTTTCTATAGCAAATCGGAGGGTCACTGGGATTAAGAATTCGTTGTTCAGTTAATCATGGGATAATTTCTCCACCACTTTCTTCCACCGCCTACCTCCCACCCCGCCCCCAAGCTGGATTGCTGGAAAGGCAGACAGGTTTTTGTCTCACTGTGCAATACGTTTCAGGTTGCATTTTCCGTAGAATTAAGAATGAATTTGCATTGGAGGTTGGACAGTTTTCCATTGTCTGCCTCAATCCATATTACAACCTCGGAATATTGCATGAGAAAGTAGCGCGATGGACAAAGGCAGGGACATACTAAAGGATGAAGAGAAAGGTGAGGAGAGAACATAGCTAGGATACACAGAGAGAGACCGAAAGACGGGATATGACAAAGAAACAGGCAGGGTGAATGGAAGAAAGACCCTAGGAAAATGAGAAGCAGTTTATACAAGAAGCATCAAGGAAGACAACACCACAATTTTTTTTCTAGAAATACACACCCAGAAGTGGGGAGGGGAATGGGGAAATAGGAGCAGAAACTGACAAAGGACGGAGAGAGGAGTAAGGGACACTGAGGTAAAGACAGTCATAAAAAATCACTGGAGGAGTCTCTCCCTCCTACCATTGTCATCATCTTCAAGGGATCTTATCCTCACAGTGGGTCTTGGTTTGGTATGCGCGGGAAATAATTACCTAGATTTCCCTAGTTCCTGCCCTCTGGAAGCTTCTAGTCTGTAACAGACACAGTGACTTTTCTGACGAGTAGCTGTCAGCTAGGAGACCGCGGGAGGTACTGCAAGTAACCCAGAATTGGAGGAAATCGTTGGCATCTTAACGTCTGCCAGTGGCGCGTCCCGGGGCGCGGGGTGGGAGCCTCCACTTTTATGGAGTTAAGCAGAGGACTCACGCAATTCCTTTCCACATCTGGTCTCTCCCCAAGACTGGGCTCAAAGGAGGCCTCTTATGAAAGCCCTCCCCAGGGCTCACCCCCCCCCATACCCGGTGTTCACAGGGCTGGTGGGGGCAAACCGAAAGGATACACAGCGCCCTGGAAACTAACGAGACAGGTGCCTCTGAGTTTTGCCCCCACCGGCCTATGAGCACCCTGAGCACGAAAGCCCGGCTCATCAACGTTACGTCCCTTGTGCTTAGCGCAGTATTGACGCTGGTCCATGACTGGTGCTTCTTTGTCGGGGGAAACCAGCGAACTTCAGGTGTGAGCAGGATTGGGTCAGAAGGGTCTATGAGAAGCCAGAAAGGTCAGGGATGTGGTGACGGTTCGCCCAAGGTGGAAATCATTAAAATGAAGTTTTAGTGGGTACGGGGGTGTCTTCAGCATGCTCCTTAAGTCTTCTAGTTGGCTAATGACTGGTTTAATAATTGTTTAAGGAACGAGTGAATGAACACACACACACCAGCGATGAGCACAGTGGGGAGCCCCCTCGCGCTCCAGGATTAAAGGCCTTAGTGGGGACTCAAAGGGACGTCAGCCCTCGTCTTAGTAGCTGACATCTTCCCCCCTCCATCCCGAGGCTGCCCAGTGGTGCCCATGTAGATCGTGGGTGCCACTGAGATCTTCCCGAAGCCCTCTACAGGTATCTCTAGCCGGGGATCTTCCAGCTGGAAAGACGTGGCTACCAGGAAGCCCCTGCTGCGCTGAATCTCCCCGCTGCGCGACTGGGGAACAGAGAGGAAGCGCGAGTCTTCCCTGGCAGCGTCCAGGATGCCGACCACATGCTGGACCTAGGGCCAGTAGGCGTGTCCAAGAGCCCGCTCTCCACGAGGGGCTGCGAACTCCCGGTCTCCGCGTGCAAGGACAGGGGAGTAGGTGGCCGGTCCTACCCGGTTCTTCTCCCGCGGGTTCTCAGGCCACCCGCTCTGGGCGGAAATCCCTCCCGCTCTTCTTCTTCCTCCCCGCCCCCATCGGCGGGTGTGGGCTGCAGACTGAAGCTGGGGTCACTCGGCGGCCAGTGTCTGCAGGTCTCTGGGTCGCGGCCAGAGAGTGAAAGCATTCAGTCCCCGGGCCCCATCTTCGGGCCTTCCTGGGCAGCGAGCGAAGTGGGAAGGGGGCGGAGGCAGGCGTCCCGAAGCTTGCCGAAGATTCGTCTCATTTCCTAACTCGAGCCACCCCGTGCCAGTGCGCTTAATGGCGCTTCTGGCCGGATAATTGAGTTCTTTGGAGGGACACAGTGACCATCTCTAATAAATATTGAATAACGAATAAGATACTCGACCGACCTAATGAGACAGGCCTACGGGCGTCGCCGTAACGTAGTATAGATTGGCTTCTCCGGCGCCAGCCTCAGCCTCTCCTCTCAGCTTTTCAGAGCCTCTTCCTAGTTACCTTCTCCCGGGGGGAACCCTTGGGGACAGGAGGCCGAGCGCTGGGAGGGGCCGGCGGCGACGATGGGAGTCCGGCTGGCACCCGCCGGCTTGGCGCTCCCCGGCACCTCCTGCCGCCGCGCCCAGCGCCCAGCGCGATCCGCACACCCGAGGAAAATGCGGGAATCGGCGCAAGGCAGGAAAAAAAGCGCGGGCCCACTTTCGAGCCCCTGCACCTGCTTTTCTAATCCATTCGGTCCTTTCGCATTCGACCGGATTTTTGTGTCCCAGGCCCTGAGCCAGGGTGCCGGTTTCCAGCGTGTCTCCCGATCCGGGTGGCGTTCCATTCTTCGCCCGAGCACGCCGCTCCCCGCCCCCACGAGACCTCCCCCTAGGCCTCTGCCTTGGTTCTAGTTGGTGTGCTCCCCGCGAGGCGCCCCATCTGGGTCCGGGGCACTGCGTTTTAGAGCCGGTGATCCGGCCGCCGAGAGGGGCAGGTAGAGGGACACGCTCTCTCTCACCGATATAGTTATTAATTTTAAGGGAGTGCCACTTAGAGTGAATGAAAATAATCCGGACGCTTGGCCGGAGGCGTCTCTCTCCCCACCCGAGCCCAGCGCCCTTGGTTTAGGCCGAGGCGTGCAAGACTGCAGAGCCACATTTCAGCCCCGTCCTCATTTCACCATCTTCCAGGAGCCCCAGGTAGGGGCGGGGACCACAGGATCAGGGGGTGGAGGGCGCGCACATATTTGGGGGAGGAAAGGGGTTAGTTGCAGAGGGAAACATAAGAGGACCCATCCTCCAGGATCAAGGACTGTTTGGGAAGGGTGAGTCGTATCCAAGTTTGGGGGGCCCAGCACCCGGTGAGGGGGTGCCTCGTTAGCCTCTCCCCTCCTCCTTTTCCCCTCTACGCAAACACCCTGAAGGAATGAGGTCACGTGGGTGAGTAGTGGGCGGGACCTACTCTTGTCTGGAGGAAAAAAGCCATTTTGACTCTCCCCCCCTCCCAAGCCCCGGTCCCTCCCCTCCCCCCTCCCCTCCCTTCCCCTCCGCTCCCCTCTCTCCCTCCCACCCCGAGCCGCTTTCACAAACTCCTTTCTTACCGTACGTTTCTCCCCTCCCGCCGCCAGAGCGAGCGACACGGCTGCGGGCCCCCTCCCCTCCCTTCCCTCCCTCCCTCCCATCCCCCCCTTCCCGAGACCCACCGGACCCCGAACCCAGGTAAGCGGAGGCAGACTCCCCTTTCCGTTCCCTCTCCTACCCCGTACCCATCTGGGATTGGGCTGGGGGGGCCGGTGCATCCTTTACTAACCCTGGTGGGAGTGGGGAGGCTCCGGGCTGGGCCTGCTGCTCGCGTCTCCGCCCCACCCCCGCCAGCCCCTATCCTAGCTGGTCCGGTCCGCCTTTCTTTCTCCCTTTTTTCTCTTCCCTTTTCCCTTGCCTCCCTTCCAAGATGGCCGAAGTGGATTTCCCCTTTTAACGGTTTGGCGTCTCCCTCGACCACCGCCTCTTTGTGCCGCAGCCCCCTCGTAGGACCTGCTCCCGAGGTAGCAGGGGGAGGGTCCAAGGCAGCCGCAAGGGCTTTGGGACTCTGCGCTGGGGCGGATCTCTGGCCCCCTAACCCTCCCCATGAACCAGAGCACCCCCCGGTTCTACTCTGCTTCTCCTTTCGGTCTGGGGAGGGGTCGCGCTCTGCTTCTTTCGTGGGCACTGGGACGTCGTAGACGCGCCAGGACTTGAGGCCGGGAGGAAGAGGACATGCTATTTTAATTGCTGCGGGGCCGGGCGGGGGCGCTATTCCCTGCCCGGGTCCCCATCCTCCCCGGCACCTCCCCCAGCCGGTCCCGTTCCCCTCATCCCAGTGTGGGAGCCCCGCCCCCTCCCCAGACCACCTTAGCAGAGCCTCTCTCCGGAACACCCCTCCTTGGGCCCCACCGAAAGTTTGGCTTTAGGGAAGGTAGGAGCGGTCACCGGGTAATTGGGGTCCCTGAACCTCTGACTCGGGCCCCAGGGGAAGCCAGGGCGGAGGGGGTAGAGAGGAGATTGGGGGAAGATGTTTCGTGATATTTCCTATCGCCAGCGGTGGCAGGACGGGTCTGACCAACCCTCTAACGCTGGGGAGCCGGGCTGTGCCCCTCTCCCCAGGCCCTGCTCCTAGCTCTGAGGGTTTGGGACCTCCCCGCGAGCAGGCACCCCTGCCCCCTCCTGCCTCCACGGGGGGCCCAGGCGCGCCTCTCCCCCTCCCCCACCACCCCCATCTGCCCAGAATTGCTCCGGATGCTTGGGGTGGGAAGGAGGCGGCCTCGGGGTGTTGAAGTTGCCTGTACATATTATGGAAATGTTACCTCGCGCTCCCCCTTGGCATTATCTCTCCGATTACAACCACACACACGCACACGCATGGTGCCTCAGTTTCCCTAGGCCTCCTTGTCACGGAGGGATGGGGGGCTTTCCTGCTTGTTTCCCACTCCGTTGTCTCTTACTCCCATGCTTCTTTCTCTGGGCCTCTTGCACAGTTTGTATCTGTTCTGAAACTCTTAGTTTCTCCTTCCTCCCCCTCTCCACTCTGTTCCAAGGTGTCAGCACTTGGGGAAGGAGCATAAAGCCAGCTCTGTTGCAGCTTTTTGATGGGGAGGTTTCCCCAGGGGTTCCCTGGTTTGGAGTTGGGGGTTGAGGTCTTAGAGCTAGCTGTCTTTGGAATGAGACAGGAAACAACCCCCAGGTGAGACCTGGGACTCAGGATTCAGGTCAGAGTAGCTGGCTGGGGTTCAAAATCTTTGCAGGACTGGGCAGGAAAGGGGGCTCTCTGCTGCCCCTCGCCTTGCCTGAGAGATCTTGTTTGATGGAGCTGCTGCTCTGGGAATGGAGAGAACCTGAACAGGAAGAGGTTACATCTTTGTGCAGGTTAGATGCCCACCCCACTCCTGCAGCCTCTGGCCCCCAGAGCGAAGGTTGGGAGCTGCACTGCCTTTGTTACCAGAAGACTTATGTTATAATTTTCCCTGGGTGGACCAGGGATGCACAAAAGGTTAGTGTGTGTTTGCAGCTCTCCATTCAGGTAGGGATGTCAGACTGTGCTTCTGGGGTGGGTGGGGTGGCTTGTACATCTGGCAAGTGAGGGCCTGGCTCTGGTCTGGCTGAATGTGTGATGGGGTATATCTGGCCTGGTGTGTTTCTGTGTGTCTAGCAACGTGTCTGTCTAGCTGTGTGTGTGTGTGTAGTGTCTGTCTGGCCTGGTGTGTTGTGTAAGGGAGAGGTGGAGGGGGTGTGTCTGGCTGCATGTGCATATGTCTGTGTGTATCTGGCAGTGCGTAGCTCTGTGTGTATATTTTGGGTTTTGTCTTTGTTTGATCTTAGGAAGCTGAGAGGTGGGAAAGGGAGGGAGGGTTGAATGAGCCCAGCTTCAGGAAACTGGAGGACTTTTTGATGCTGCTAGGGGTTGGGGGAGGATGACATACACACACACTGATCTTTGTCCCAGTCAAGGATCAGGGAACATTGAGAGTTTGACAGTGTCCCCAGGCAGACCCCCCGGGACCTTCTCCATGCAGCCGGGAGAGGAATGGACTCCCGGGACCCAGTACCACGAAAGTGGGGTCAGATGATTAGCCTCTGCCCCCTCTTCCCACTTCAAAATGAGAGTGTGTGTTCATGGTCATGTGTTGGCCAGACTTTAACCCCCTCCTAGAAGGTTCAGTGAGTGGTCTTCCAGGGAACCCAGAGCCCTGCCTGCTACCTGCCTGGGTGAAGTCAGGCCAGGGCTATTTGTTCCTCAGATGAGTGGGGAGCCTGGCCGGCTGTCACTGTGCAAAGTGCACTTGAACAGGAGTCAGGCAGTTTCTAGTCCTAGGATGGCCTCTGCATCACTGTGTGACCTTAGACAAGTCATTTCTTTCTGAGTTTCTTCATCTGTAAAATGAAAGGATTGGCCAAGATGCTTTCTAAGATCTACTTTACCTCTCCATTTCTAGATGTCTGGATGTGACCTTGAGTGATGTATCCCAAGACCTGGAGATTTCTAGTGAGGAGTTGGGCTAATGTCATGTGTAGGAAGAAAGGCAGAGCAAAGAATGTTGTAGCTGGGCATCTGAATGAGCAGAAGGGACCTCTGGGTTATCAGAAACTGCATCTTGTTGCAGGGGAACTTAAAGAAAAGTATTGGGTAGAAAGCCTTACTAGGCTTGCAGGGAAACCTGAAGACTTTAAGGAGATTTTAAGTTAGTAGGGGAAACACAAATGCCAGTCTTGAATGGCAAGGAAGAGTTGGGTTGGGGAGTGGGGAGCTGATAAGCTCTTTTCCTGCCACTTGAGCCGAGACCCAGGGCCCCAGGGGCCAGGTGCATGGGCTCCCCAACTATCATACCCTTGCAGAGACAGTGGTTTGGGGACAGAATATACTGAAGGACTTGGCCCCCAACTGGGAAAAGGTATTGGGCATGGGAGATAGTGTTCAGGTCTGCTGTGGAGATACGGTGGGGACCGACTCGTTCAAGCCCCTAAAGGGCGCTTCCAAATGGCCCTTGGCCTCCCTTTCTGCTTCTGGGGATTTGTCTCTCTCGCTTCCTCCCTCAGGCTGTTCCCATCTCCCAGGCTCTTCTTAAAGTCCTGACATCTGGAGGGCCAGCTATCCATCACCCCTCTTCCTCTTTCACACAGCACACCAGGCAGTTGCAGCGGGAGGAATTGGGTGTCAGGTGTGGGGCCCTTAGGCCTAGTTGCGGGGGGTGGGTAGGGAGGGGGTACAGTGGGGGAACAGAGCTCCTGTTTACAGTTGTTCTTGGCACCTGCTGGCAGGGCCCTGCAGGTAACCATGGCAATCAGGTGAGGAACCAATCAGTGTGTCTCCCCACCCCCAGCCCCAGAGGTAACAGTCTGAGGCACCTGGGGATGGGGTGGGGGGAAGCAGGGAGTGTGGTAAGGGTGCTTATTTCTTAAAGGGGAGAAGAAGGAACATTTCATTCAATAAGCACCACAGTTCTTTCCTTCACCTAAGCAGCTAGGAAGGAGCTTGGGGGGTAGTCTTGGTCTGAATTCTCACAAATGTTTATGGAAGTGAGAGGGTGAAGGTCACGGATGTTTGCCTAGGAGCTCTTGTGTGTTGAAGTCATAGTTTGCCTGGCAGGTGCTGGATGGGAGTTCTTAAGAGCAAGTGTCTATTTTGAAAACAGTGAGTGTGTGAATGTGAAGACTGAGGCAGTGAGAAGTGCCTATGTGTGTGCATATATGGCATGTGTACGTGAGAGGGAGAGTAAGAGAAGGGGCTTTCTCAGTAGCAACCTGGAGCCCTGGCATTATCAGACCCCCAAATGTTTTGTTTCTGGCTGTGTGTGCACATAGATGCATGTGGACACGGGACAAGCAGTCACACGAAGTGCCTTTGGAGGCCCAGATGGCATGTACATATCTAGTGGGTATTACACTCAGAGAGAATGCCGCTTGGAGTTTGTTCTGTCCTCTGGATGGTTGTAATAATATTTGGGCATCTTGCCAGGGACAGGGTTTCTATGGAAACCGCCAAACAGTGGAGTAACCAGCAAGCTTTCTGCATAGTTGTGAAGGGGGGACCCTATGCCAGCAGGGCCTGCCCAGGCTGCCCTATGTGGAGCAGGAACCCTTTTCCTTCCTGCAGCTCTAGGCCACTGCATCTCTGCTGGCTCTCTGGGCTTGCTGGTTCCCTTCTGTCTGCCCTGCAACGTGGTGTCTGTCCCACGTGTGGCCTTTGTGTCTCTCCATCCCTTTTGGTCTCTGGCTGGCCTCTATTGGTTGTTTGGGTCCTGGCCAAACTCATCCTGGGGTCTCTATAGAAACTGCTGATCCCGGCTGTGAATTTCTGATCCTAGAAAACCCCATGTGATGGCTTTAGAAATCTTTCTGGGAAGGAGAGGAGGGTGTATGTTGTAAAGGAGCTGTGGGGCTTGGCCACTCTCCCATGCTCCACCCCTTGGGCTCTTGCTCTGGGAAAGAGGCCATCCCTCCTAGGTGCAGGTTTGATTTTTATACCAAGAAGAAAGCCCATCAGCCAATCCAGGTCCTGGCTGGGTGCTTGACTGGGCTGCAGAGAGAACTCTTTGCCCAGCTTTGCCAGGCATCTCCAAGAGCCTGTGGTCTGTCACTGGGCAGCCTGTGGATAGTTTGCAGACGGGAGCCTGGGGGTGGGTGGGGCAGTTCTGTGTGTGATCCGGGGGACTCGCACAGGTGGGCTGTGTGTCGGGGCACGTGGCAGCATTCCTGTGGAGAGGGCAATAGCAGTCTCTTGGCCCGGGCTCTTTGTCATTACCTGCAGAGTCCAGGTAATGGGGTTGGGCTGGAGCTGTGTGTTCCCCGCTCCAGGCATGTTAGGACTGCCCTCAGTAGTTCCTGCCTGAGCACCAGGCCTGGCACATGCATGGGCAGTGTATGGTGGATTTCCACAGAGCTGCTCCAGGGCCAGGGAAGGATGCAGAGCCAGAAGGGCAAGTGATGGGGTGCTCCCGTCAGACTTAAGGCAGTCTGTGCCACAGTTTCCAAGGAAGGCTTCTTGGAGGAGGAGTGATTGGATGGATGGAGGGTAGGACAGAGCAGAAAAACCAAGTTAGGGGCTTTGAGTTTGGTAGATGGGTCTATGTTTTCTCCTAGCTCCTAGTATGCATTTGAGTGAATATGGATTGGGATTGGGGAGTTTTCTAAGAACTCTGCTCTCTTCCATTTGCCTGCCTCCCCACATCCTCTGGAGAGTTAGGTAGTACTTCCTGTGGTCTAACCTCAGTCTTTCCTGCTGCTCCTGAAATGGAGCCTACCTTTTGCTCAAGTCACATGAATCTCCAGAGGCCCTGGCACCCAGTGAACACTCAAAGGGGGCCAGAAAGAAGCACCTGCATGCATGCACCCAGTCAGGGCTTGAAGGCAGAGAGGAAGGGTCTCAGGCTGGGGGAGAGAGGTTGTTTGGGGGGCCAGGTGGAGTGGAGAATGGGAAGGGGCTCTCAGATCTCTGGGTTTCTGATTCTACTTTGATTTCCCAGGGTGACTCTCCCCAGTCCCCCTGCTCCCCACCCCGGCATCATGCATCGGACCACACGGATCAGAATCACAGAGCTGAACCCTCACCTCATGTGTGCCCTCTGTGGGGGGTACTTCATCGATGCCACTACCATCGTGGAGTGCTTGCATTCCTGTGAGTTCAGTGGAGGGGGCTGCCCCGGGGAAGGCAAGAATACAGGCCCACAGAGGTCTGTGTGTCTGGTAGGGGTCCCAGGCAGGTCACAGAGGCTGCCTGGGAGGGAGGGGAGGCCAGCGGTCTCAGCCCCGAAGTTTGTTTTAGGGACCGTGACCTGAGATTTCATTTCTATCCTTTATATTTCTGTGGCTGAAATTGCACCCCATGGAGATGGAGCTGCCCCTTGTGTGCTCTGTGACCTTGGTGGCAAGGGTCAGGGACCCTGGGAGTGCCTAAAGGCGGGGTATTGTTCTGTACTCCACTGGGGGACTTGGGACTTGGGGCTCACCTTATGCATGGTACATGACACTGGCCACACGCACACACGCACACACACAGACTCCCAGGATCTGTCCTTCCCCAGTGGTGGATATGGGTCAGTTGCCATCTATGTGAGGCATGGTCATGTTGGGCCTTTGAACAGGCCTGAACTGTGGAGACAGGGTGGAGAGGAAGGAGTACCTAAATCTGAGCAGAGGGCCTGGGGGTTGGTCCCGGATTAGGAAGGGGGCTCTGATTCTCCTTCCTCTCTCCACACCCTCCAAGTCTGCAAAACCTGCATTGTGCGCTACCTGGAGACCAACAAGTATTGCCCCATGTGTGATGTGCAGGTCCATAAAACCCGGCCGCTGCTGAGCATCAGGTGGGCCTGGCCGTGCAGCCCCTGCCCTTGCCAATCCTGTGGGTCAGCTGCCCTCTGTCCCTCAGCCCTTTTGCTTCCTGTAGCCAAGGTGGCAGATAGGGGAGAAGCACTGGGTGTGAACCTAAGGGCCCTTCCCTCTCTGGGTATATCCAGCTTGTCATAGGTGGAGAAATACTAAAGGGGTAAAGATAGGCATACAGGGATCACAAGGCCTGGGCCCTGGGAATAAGGAAGGGAGGTGGGAAGTGGTGTCCCCTGCCTGGGAAGATCAGGGTGAGGCGTTCACTGACAGGCCTCTGTACGTTTTTTTCCAGATCAGACAAAACCCTGCAAGACATAGTCTACAAATTGGTCCCTGGGCTTTTTAAAGGTATCTACACACCCTTCTGCCCAGTGCCCCTCACTTCCCAGCCTGTTGCTCTCTCCTCACCCTGCTTCCCTCTTTCAGATGAGATGAAACGGCGGCGGGATTTCTATGCAGCGTACCCCCTGACAGAAGGTGGGTGTGTTTTTGTGTCCACTTGTGTGTGTGTTCCCAGCTGGGACCACGTGAGTGTGTCACTGCCCCAGGCACAAGGGCTGGATGCACTGGGCTGTCCACCCTCCACTCACCACCACGCTGCCTTCCCAGCCTGCAGGACGGCTGGGCTCACCCCGCTGAGCCCCCCGGTCCTTTCCCCCATCTGAGACCAGCCCCTCAGAGCTCTCTCCTTCTACAGTCCCCAATGGCTCCAATGAGGACCGTGGAGAGGTCCTAGAGCAGGAGAAGGGGGCTCTGAGTGATGATGAGATCGTGAGCCTCTCCATCGAGTTCTATGAAGGCGTCAGGCAAGTCTGACCCATGCCTGGTCCTTTTGGGACCCTAGGCTGGGTTGTCCCCTTTTCCCACTTTGGGCCTATTCCCTTGGGAGGAAAGGGTACCTCTGGGAGGGCCTTCTGGATGTGTGCATTAGGGGTCCTGCCTGCTGCAGGCTCTCCCTAGCTTCATTCTTTGTCCTCCCCCAGGGACCGGGAGGAAAAGAAGGGTCCTCTGGAAAATGGGGATGGGGACAAGGAGAAGGTGAGTGCTGGGTCCTGCGAGGAGTAGAATGTGGCCTGGGAGAGAGTGCCTGGGGTGGACCTCAGGCCTTAGGTGCCTCCCCTGCAGCAGACGGGGGTACGCTTCCTGCGGTGTCCAGCAGCCATGACCGTCATGCATCTTGCCAAGTTTCTCCGCAACAAGATGGATGTACCCAGCAAGTACAAGGTGAGCCCCTGAGCCCTTTCAAAAAACCAGTGTCTGTAAATCTAACAGTCTGTGCATCCCAGCCAATTTGGTCCAGGGCCGGCCAGGCGTCACCAGAGCCTGTGTGGTTGTATAATTGAACTTAAGTAGAAGTTAAGTTCTCCCACACTCAGGAGAAAAGGATGCTTTGGCAGATTACTTGAAACCCAGATGGGGCGTCTATTGAAGCCAGGGTGCAGAGTCAGGTTTTAAAGCTCCCCACATGATTCTGATAACGCAGTAATAATTGGATCCACCGTCCTAAAGCCTTGATAACCAGTTAAATCAGAATCTTAGTGGGGTGAGATCTAGGCACTGGTATTTTTTTTTTAAGTTCCCTGGGTAATTTTGCTGTGCAGCCCGGGTAAGAGCCAGTGCTTCACGAGCTCCTTCTCACCTGGCCTTTCTTTGCCTGTTAGCTCCTCTGGGGGACCTGCCAGAGATGTAAGGGGACCCAGACAGCTGTGTGGATAGATGGCTACAGGGCTGGGGGTTAATGATGTAGGTATTTTTCTCTGGATCCCTTCCTGCCTGATAAGAAGGAGTTATGTTGGGACAACTCTGATAGGAAAGTCAAGTCCACCATGAAACCCCAGAGTACTGAGGGACCACCTTCAAGTCTACCCTCTCTATTACCCTACCACCTACCCCACAAGACTCCTAGCTTGGAGCCTCTGCCGGACGGCTAGAGCCTTAAGCCTGGCCAGGCTCATGGTGTCCTCCGCTTCCACCTTCAGGTGGAGGTTCTGTATGAGGACGAGCCACTGAAGGAATACTACACCCTCATGGACATCGCCTACATCTACCCCTGGAGGCGGGTAAGGCCGGCAGTGTGGGGTGGTGCAGGTCGGGGGGCAGGCCTGGGAAGGACCCCTGCAGGGTCTGGCACTGGTCTGTGGCCACAGTGACGTGGCCATCCTGCTCTAATCACTGTTCATCCCTTGTCCCATGAGCTGGTCGTGCCCAGGGCGGCCTGCCACACCAGGTCAGCCTCCAGGCCGTCTTTCGATGATGACCTCCCACACTCAGGAGAAAAGGACCCTTTGGCAGATTACATGCCCTGATTTGGTGTCAGAGGGGCTGGTGACTGTGGAGGATAAATGTCGCTTTGCTGCTTTTCTGCCTTCCTCTCCTCACCTCTGGTCTTAGACGTTCTCTCTGCCTCTCTGGGTGTCTGTCTCTGGCCTTGCTCTCGCAGGTTCGCTTTGCCTGTCTCCTCTCAGTCTTTCTGAACCCCTCCAGGGCCCAGACCTTCCTTTTCTTCCTGTTGGGCACTGTGGGTGAGGTGGGTGGCTGCCTGCTCAGCCTCTTCTCTTTAACCCCTACCCTCTCCTTGCAGAACGTCCCTCTCCCCCTCAAGTATCGTGTCCAGCCGGCCTGCAGGCGGCTCACCTTGCCCACAGCACCCACCCCCTCCGAGGGCACCAACACCAGCGGGGCGTCCGAGTGTGAGTCAGTCAGCGACAAGGCTCCCAGCCCTGCCACCCTGCCGGCCACCTCCTCCTCCCTGCCCAGCCCAGCCACCCCCTCCCATGGCTCTCCCAGCTCCCACGGGCCCCCAGCCACCCACCCTACCTCCCCAACTCCCCCTTCGACAGCCAGTGGGGCCACCACAGCTGCCAACGGGGGCACCTCGAACTGCCTGCAGACATCATCCTCCACCAGCAGGGGGCGCAAGATGACCGTCAACGGAGCTCCTGTGCCCCCCTTAATTTGAGAAAAGGGACCCTCTCCCTTCCTTTCCAGCCATGCCTCTCCACCCCTCCACTTTTTCTGGGCCCTTTTTCCACCTCTTCTACTTTTCCCAGTTCCTCCCACCTTAGGGGTGGGGGGTGGGTTTTATAAATAAATTTATATATATATGTACATAGGAAAAACCAAATATACATACTTATTTTCTATGAACCAACCAGATTAATTTAAATGCCACAGGAAACAAACTTTATGTGTGTGTGTATGTATGGGGGATGGGGTGTTCATTCTTAGGGGGTCTTGTGTGATTTGCTCTGCTCTCTTTTTGGGGGTGCCAGGAAGAGGGTTGGAGGGGCTACTTGAAACTCAGTAAAGCTCTACCCCATCCTATTCTGTTTCCCAAGGCAGATGGGGTGTTAGGGGGCCCTACCACCCAGCCCACAGAACTTTTGGCACAAGTCTAACTGGCTGTGTATGGGGTCTACCCTCTTTCTCACCCCATTTTGGCCTGCTGTCCTGCCCTGACCAGTTCCCCTACCCCCATTACTGAATGTCCAGAGAACTTGCTAAGACAGTGCCTTTTTACAAATGCAGTTTATCCCCTGGGTCTGAGGAGCAAGTGGGTGGTGGAGATTGCATCTCCCTAACCCACTCCTCTTACAGTGGAAACTTTGTGCAAAGAATATAGTTCTGCCTTTTTTTGTTTTGCTTTTTTTTTCCTTGTGTGTGGCCTTTGCATCATTTACCTTAGGGAAGAGAAGGTTCAGGCCACTGGAGGCGTCCACTGTGGCTTTAGAATTGTGACCTGCTTCACCTGCTTCTGCCCCCTGCCCCCACCCAGGAACCTTATTTGCAAGGCTGGTGGTAAAGTCTCATGGGGGCTTGGAGTGGAGGTTAACCTCAAAACAAGCTCAGACCCCAGATTTTGGCAAAGGCGAAACATCCCTCCAGTCCCTTCCTCACCCCCAGCTGAGGCCAAGTCAGGAAAGCGGCAGAGGCATCTAAAAGCACAAGGAGACACAAACCTGTAAACTGTGACCTTAGCTCTCTTCCGAGGTCAGCACACCGCGCCCTGAGGGGCAGACCCCAAAAGATCCCTTCCCACCTGTTTTTTTCCTCCAATGTACATAGATCAGAGTGGAGAGGAGGTGAGGAGGCAAGACTGTATCACAGCCTGGGTGTTTGGGGTTGGGAGCCCTCCAACAGGTTTGTCGTGTTTGCACCTTGTCCTGTGTCTGAGGCGCTGTGGCTGTACCCTGCTCCTGCCCTGGGACATTTGTATCTCCTGGCTTTGTAATAAATCTGCTCACTCTCCAGAGCCTGTAGTTCTTTGGGGGTGGAGGGAGCAAGGAAAGGGTGGGGGTGTACCCTGGCCACCTCACACTGCTAGGCTCAGCCTGCCTTGGGCAACCCGATATGGAATGAACCTGAACTGCCCCCTTCTTGTCGCCAGTCAGCTGCCCTCCAGCCCCAGTTAAGATCCAAAGCAGGCGTAGGCCATGTGCCTTACACCAGTGACCACAAGAACACCACTCTGGGTGGGCAGGTGTGTTTTATGCCATCTTTACCAGCAGGCATGGAACCATGGGTCAGTTCGTGGGTGCCCCAGATAGAATTCAGGTAATGGGGAGCACATCCTTCACAAGCCAACTATGGGTACTGGGGTCCCAAGGTGATCCCTGTCTTGGGCTCAGCACTCGGTGTCCTTCCCCACAAAGGGGGTTCCTTCCAGAGAGGACTGGAGCTAAGCAGCAGCCACCCCCTCAGAGTGGGGAGCCCACTTCTGTCTTCTGTACCCGCTCACTCCTGTGGGTACCATCGCAGTATGGGGGCTTCTGGGTGGCCTTGCAGGTACAGAGGGCCACTATGCGGGTCTCCTGAGCCTTGAACTTGAGTGGGGATAGGCCAGTGCGTTGGAAGAAGTGGGAACCATCACAGAAGGGCTGACAAGGGAAAGAGAGAAGTCAGAGACCCAACCCCACCTTCTGGGTGGGGCAGGTCTAGGCAGTGCAGAGGTTAGGGCTCAGGCTTCCTAGCAGACTGCCTGTGTTCACTAATTTACCTCTCATCTGTAATGTGAGGGGAGTTGTCCCAAGGAAATAAACAATGGTTACTATGCACTTTGCTTATACTAAGTGTTCAATATGGGTCTTTACAGCATTAATCTCGGGGACCCATAAGGCCAGAGCACGAGGATAGAATTTTCGAGGTGAAATGGGACTAGGTATCAGCAGTTTACACTATACAGGCTTGCTTTCTTGTTTTAATGGCTCTCTGAGTCTTCATTGGTTCACGAAATCCATATCCTTCCCCATTCTCAGGGTAAAAACTTCATCAAGTGGGAAAGAGCCTGTGTGCATCCCCATACTTTAAGACCAGGGCATCGGTTTTGTTTGGCTCCAGGGAACAACTGGCCACGTTACAGGGAGTGGATGTTAAAGGGAGGAAGAGGATGTCCCACAGTGAGCTGGCCACCTGGTGCAGGATATGTTCCCCATCCATCGGGAAGCTGTTCAAGAAGAGGCAGGGTAATGGAAACTGGCCCAGAGAGATGCCTTAACTTACTAGTTAGTGGCAGTTCTGGAGCCAAGGCCTCTCGACCTGGGGGTCAGGGTCGGGTAGGAGGAGAGAGGAGAGAAGTGTGCAAATAAAAACCGGCAACCTGTCCCAGAAGGCGAGTGGCAGAAAGGCACAGAGTGCCTGCCTGGACCAGCTCGCACTCTGGCTGGCATTCCCCTAGCAGGCTCCACCCTCATGAGGACCTGCTCAAAGTCCAATCAGTAGCAAGGCAAGACTATGGCCCCTGGGCTGCACACTGCCTGGAGGAACACAGTTCAAGCTCAGCTCAGGCAGGAGAGTATGGGTCAGGTTCCTGCCGAATTAAAGGGGCAGCAGGGAGAATGAGCGGGGAGCCAGGCTGAGAAGACAGCAGGCTGCGGCAGGTAGCCAGGGAAGTCACACAAACTGGCAAAGGGGAGGGTGTCCAGGAGAAGGCGCTGGGAAGGGGCACAAGAGCCTGCACCATCTTCCCAGTATTGGAGTCTAAGACCTGGGAACCTTTGGCCCAGATGCTTCCTGGAAGGAGGAAGGAGACATGGGCAGCAGGGGCAGCGGGGAGAGACTGGAAAGCCTCTCAGTGTGTGTGACACAAGGAGGGGCCCCAGGAGTGCAGAACCCAGGGCGCCACTTGCCTGGCTGTGTGACTGAGTTTCTCTCAGTGGCCTCATCACAAAGGGTAGATGCAGAGGACAGGGAGCTCAGGGCTGTGAGTGGCACTGGCCCGAGAGTATTATTTCTCCCCCAGCCTCCCTTGTCCTTCAGGTATGTGTGGGAAAAAGATGGTCTCGGGTGGGAGCTCCCAGGAGATCCTGCTGCCCCAAAGAGGGGTATCCTATGTCAGTGGGAGGGGGATAGGAGTCTCTCACCTGTTTCTTGCTTCGGCCACACACACACCATCTGTAGCTTTTCCCAGCCACCAGCTCCACCCTGATGGGTGTTTTCAGGGCCACCACGGACTTGGCTGGGACTCTGGGGAACCATCGTGCCTGTGGCAAGGGAGATGAGGAGCTTGGAGTCAGCCCTTGCCCTGAAGCACCTTCCTGCCTATGGCCTTGTCCAGTTTCCCACTGGCCCTGGCTTGTGGCAGGCTTTCTCTGCAGGAGGCTGGTCTAATGTCACCCCACAAGGACATTCCCCTCAAGACTACAAGGATCCTGAACTCCAGATTGGGGAGAGTTTACAAGGCCATATAGGCATTCAGGCTTCTGGGTCCAGCTACCTTCCTTTAAAACAATGAGGCAATGGAGGGAAGGGAGGGCCAGGATCCTGTCAGCCTTAGTGGGGCCAGCTGGACCTGGCACTCGGTTTATCAGGCACCGCTGTTCCCAGTCCTAGAGCCTGGCTCCCTAAGCTATCAGGAGGTTGCTACACGCAAGGCATTTGGAGGCCGGAGGCAGGGAAGCCGGGCTGATCCTTTCTGGTTGCCTTCTCTGGTCTCTCTACCTTTGGTGTCTCTGGGCCTGGGGGACATGGGCGAAGAGAAGGAGAGAAGAGATACTTACTAACCAGGAGGCGATGTCCCGCCTCTGGTTCAGCTTCTGCAAGGAACGCAGGCATCATGAGACGGAGGTTTGGAAACAGAAAAATAAAGTCAGTGGAAAGCGGAGCAGTCCTCTGGGAGGGAAGAGACGGCGAGGCATAGTGTCGCAGGAGAAACCGGAGGGTAAGAAAAGGAGGTCACAAGATAGGAAGGGGAATTGCTGGGGAGGCGCTGGCGCCCGGTAGGCGCTCGGGGAGGGTTGCGAGGCGCGAGGCGGCGACCGGGGCCTGGGGACTTGGGAGGCCTGGGGGGCCCAGCCGGGAACCGGCGGGCGGGGCTGGGGAGGGGCGAGGGAGGAGGGCCTGGCTGCCTGCGTGCCGGGGCGGGGGTGCTCACCCAGGCCGCCGGCCGCAGGGTCGCCCCCACGCCGCCCATGTCGGCCCCTCTGCCACGCCGCGCCGGCTCCGCCCCGCGCCCTGGTCACCTTCCCGCTTCCCTCCGCCTATGGCTGTGTGACTGAGTTTCTCTCAGTGGCCTCATCACAAAGGGTAGATGCAGAGGACAGGGAGCTCAGGGCTGTGAGTGGCACTGGCCCGAGAGTATTATTTCTCCCCCAGCCTCCCTTGTCCTTCAGGTATGTGTGGGAAAAAGATGGTCTCGGGTGGGAGCTCCCAGGAGATCCTGCTGCCCCAAAGAGGGGTATCCTATGTCAGTGGGAGGGGGATAGGAGTCTCTCACCTGTTTCTTGCTTCGGCCACACACACACCATCTGTAGCTTTTCCCAGCCACCAGCTCCACCCTGATGGGTGTTTTCAGGGCCACCACGGACTTGGCTGGGACTCTGGGGAACCATCGTGCCTGTGGCAAGGGAGATGAGGAGCTTGGAGTCAGCCCTTGCCCTGAAGCACCTTCCTGCCTATGGCCTTGTCCAGTTTCCCACTGGCCCTGGCTTGTGGCAGGCTTTCTCTGCAGGAGGCTGGTCTAATGTCACCCCACAAGGACATTCCCCTCAAGACTACAAGGATCCTGAACTCCAGATTGGGGAGAGTTTACAAGGCCATATAGGCATTCAGGCTTCTGGGTCCAGCTACCTTCCTTTAAAACAATGAGGCAATGGAGGGAAGGGAGGGCCAGGATCCTGTCAGCCTTAGTGGGGCCAGCTGGACCTGGGACTCGGTTTATCAGGCACCGCTGTTCCCAGTCCTAGAGCCTGGCTCCCTAAGCTATCAGGAGGTTGCTACACGCAAGGCATTTGGAGGCCGGAGGCAGGGAAGCCGGGCTGATCCTTTCTGGTTGCCTTCTCTGGTCTCTCTACCTTTGGTGTCTCTGGGCCTGGGGGACATGGGCGAAGAGAAGGAGAGAAGAGATACTTACTAACCAGGAGGCGATGTCCCGCCTCTGGTTCAGCTTCTGCAAGGAACGCAGGCATCATGAGACGGAGGTTTGGAAACAGAAAAATAAAGTCAGTGGAAAGCGGAGCAGTCCTCTGGGAGGGAAGAGACGGCGAGGCATAGTGTCGCAGGAGAAACCGGAGGGTAAGAAAAGGAGGTCACAAGATAGGAAGGGGAATTGCTGGGGAGGCGCTGGCGCCCGGTAGGCGCTCGGGGAGGGTTGCGAGGCGCGAGGCGGCGACCGGGGCCTGGGGACTTGGGAGGCCTGGGGGGCCCAGCCGGGAACCGGCGGGCGGGGCTGGGGAGGGGCGAGGGAGGAGGGCCTGGCTGCCTGCGTGCCGGGGCGGGGGTGCTCACCCAGGCCGCCGGCCGCAGGGTCGCCCCCACGCCGCCCATGTCGGCCCCTCTGCCACGCCGCGCCGGCTCCGCCCCGCGCCCTGGTCACCTTCCCGCTTCCCTCCGCCTCCCGGCCGGCCCGGCCCCGCCTCGGCCCGGAAGACGCCGCCGGGTTGCGGCTGGGGTCTGCACAGCTGGGTCCGGCCCCGGCGCCGGAAGCCGAGCGGAGGTGCTTGCCCAGCAGCGTCCTCGGGTCCCCTGGAGCTGTGGAGGGGGGCGCTCCTGGCGCCCCCTTTGGGTCCGGCCTCTCTGCGACATGACCCCCGCAAGACACGGTTCTCGTTTCCCTGCCTGCGCCTCCCAGGGCACCCAACCCGCACCCCGTGTGGGCGGGGGCCCTCCCGAATGGGTTTTCTTGCAGAGTTTTAAGGCAGGGTTTCTAGAAGTCAAGCGGCTACATCTCTTCGCCTAGAGAGCTTGTTTTTTAACAGACCCCCACCCAATTGGGCCTACACACTACATCTTTGTGGGTGGGGCACAGGTATCTGAGTTTTCAATATGTAGCCTGGGTATTTTCTGCATTCTGGTCTGTGGACTACTCTTCTAATTAAAGAAACGTAATAGACCGCCCTCGCGTCCCCTCCCAAGGCTCCCACGGTTGATACTCCACCTCTCTTTCCCTTCAATAAAGCCAGACAAAGCAGGGTCTCTGGATTTTTTTTGTAAAACATTCTTTTATTAAAAGAACAAGTGCTGTTTACGAACTGCCCTTCGTACAAATAACATCCGTTATACAAAGATACAAGATCCGGGTTATGCACAATTCCAGGCTTAGAGGTGGCAGGGGTTGGGCATTACCTTTGGGGCTGAGGATATAAAGGTTTTAGAAAGAATGAAAAAGGAGCCCCTGGGTTTGCAAACTGGCATCCCCTCCCTGCTCCCCAGGAAGGTGTGCTACATTGAGACAGGCTGGGATGGAAATGGGGGGATCAGGGGGGAAGATGGGGTTTGGGTCTCCAGTCCCACTACTTAAGTCCCAAGTTGGGCTGGAGAAAGAGAACAAAGGGCAATGGAGGCCCCCCTCCCCAGTTTTTCAGTAGATCAAGTCAAAGTGGTCAGGAGCTAGACACACTTTTAATCTGGATTAATGTGACTGGAGGGAGCCAGGGTACTATACCTCACCTTCCTCCAAATTCCCAACTGAACTGACCTTAATCTTTCCAGGCACTTCTCCCCAGGAAAATAAGCTGGGCGAAGGGAGATTTGGAAGCAAGCTGCCTACCCCAAACACGGGTCTACCACACACTGAGGAAGATGCTGGAAGATGGCAGGAGGAGCCTGGGCCATTGAAAACTTGTCTGCATTTCCAGTTTGGGAAAGGGAAGTGTGGCAATTACCCTTCTTTGGAGCTGGCACTTGGCTCTGGCTTCCCTCACTTGTCTAGGCCCTTCCTAGGAGTACTTTCCTAGAACTCAGTACAGGAATGAGCAAGGGTGCTCTCATCAGCCCAAAGTGAGGGCACCTGGAGGAGGAGTAGACATGGTGGGGGGGGGGNATTAAAAAAAAAAAAGCAACCTTTAAAGTGTCATTGTCTATGGAGAGGATCCATCAGCTCTGAGCTAAGACAATCAGTGCTACATAGATACCCTCTCACCCTGGGCACGGCCCTACACTCACACCACACATCACACACACAGGGGCAGGACAGCCACATGAAAGTGGTAAAGTGGGGCAGAAGAGCCCAGGACCAGGAAGCCAGGGTTCTGAGGGCTGGTCCTGGCTTCACCCGGAGCCTCTGCCCCTCCTCGGCTTGGAGCTATCACCTGTGAAGAAGGAACTGGCTCAAAAGACCCCTAAAGACAGGTCCCTCCCAGCTCCAACACTTAAGTGCTGGTCCTGACCTCAAGGCCAGATAGGGCTCTGCATGCACACTCTGCTCACACCTCCATGTGGAGGGTGAAGACACACACAGCTCCTCTCATGCATTTTCAAACTCCACTTCCGCCCTGCAACCCACATCCTTCCCCCTCCCCTAGACTGTGAGATCTATAGATCAGTATCCTTGCCAGTCCCCACTGCAATTCATCCTGGGGAAAGGGGCCAAGGCTGGGAAAGGAGGGGAAGTCAGTATAGCCATCTCCCCCACCCCCTACATTGGGACCCTGGCTCCCTCGTGAAGATCGCCAGACCTGTCCTATTACAAAACTCCCTCAGAAGAAGGAAATGCACTGCCTCTTTCATGCCCCCACCCCCACCCTACCCCAAATGGAGGGACAGCACCAATCCATACCCAGCCTGGGTCCCTTCTTCAAATCTAACCTGACTACCTGCCACTGCACCCCAGCCTGGGAAAATCTGGAAAACATACTCTTGGAGATGAGAACCCCAGACTCCTGGGTGCTGGGAGGGAAGGGGGAGGTCTTGGTTCCAGTGCACTAAATCATTTGGACCTCTCTCTCTCCACCACCAAAAGCTTAGAGCAGGGTATGGGTGTGAATGAGCAACACTTTCATGAATCTCTGAAGGTTATTTTTTTCTTTTCGGTTTGGGGACACGGAGTTACAGAGCTTAACAGATAAAGATGAACAAAATGCTGAATTCTATCAATTCTTTCTGATATTTAGCATTAATAAAAAGTGAGTATTTCTGAGGTCATCGCAACTGCCTCCCCCTCCCCCCAAGCCCTTACAAGTGCCTAAGAAATTGCTTCTGAAGTTCCACCCACCCATCCATTATCAGCTCCCTAACATCTTACAAAGTCTTATCAACAGGAATATTAATATTATTTTCAGTATCAGAAAAAAACTGGTTGAGCAGCACAGGCAAAAATATATCTGCACTACGTTTCTGTCGTTGCCAAAAATATACACATCTTCTTTTCTTTATTTCAAAAAAAAAAACCACCACCAACAAAAACCCAAACAGAAACACACACAAAAAATCCACACATGCAAAGACTCTGACAAGATAGGAGCCTCAGGGAAAGCTGGACACACGTTCTCCCCGCTCCAACCCAGGGCAGCGGAAATGCAGACACAGGCTGCAGCTCGGCCCCTCCCCTGGCTGTCCCACTGGCCCCTCGCCCTGCCTCTGCCACCAAACGCTCTGTCTGAGCAGGTAGGGGCTCTTTAAGGTGGCACTTGTCCATGACACCCCAGGGAAATAGCTGGTAGAAGGGGCGGTTGTTAGGTCAGTTTAAGCTTAAGTCTCCCCTGGTTGTTGGTGGGGGTGGGGTAGAATGTGGGGAAGCAGGCACGCTAATTTTGCTAGGGAGGAGGTTTTACTAAAGGAAGTGGCACTTTATCCTCCCTTGCTCCGTCCCCCAATCCCTGGGGCTCCCCTTGTGCCAGGGAGCAGGACCAACTATCAGTAGGGGAAAGGAGCTCTGAGGGGACAGAGACCATGTGAGGTCTGGGAAAGGGAAGGCAGGATATTACCCTGATTCAAAGCCCCCAGCCCCTGGTTACTCTCCAATATTGGAGTACTGGCTGGTTTTGTTAACCATTCGTGCCCCAGAAAGGGACAAATGTTGGTGAGGTGGGGAGGGTGCAAGCAAGAGTTGGGAGTTCCCCCTGGTGCTGCCACACTTGAGCACTGCTCCTATCCCTGCCCTCTGCTGCCCCAGGTGCGGCGGGAGGGGGGTGCGGGGGGCGGGGAAAGACAGAAACACAAACGCACACACGCACACGCACTCTGAGTCAGGCAGCTGCATCTCCCCACCCTCGGCACTCCTAAGTCCAATAGTGCAAACAAGGGGCAGGACGCCAAGGGGCTGGCTGCCTCCCCTGCCCTCCCCCAACACATCACTGGGGGGCGCCCCGAGAGGTGGGAAGGCTTGGGCCAAGTTTGATGCCATCCTGCCCCTTCCTCAGCCCCCTAGTCTATGGGTTTTTCCAAGCTCAGCTTGTGACCCTTGTTTGGTGATGGGGGCGAAAAGAGAACTGGCAAGAAACTGTCCAAGGGAATCCCCCTCCTGCCATCTGCCTAAGTTGGGAAGGAAGAGCAGGTAAAGTAGGGCCACCCCTCCTTCTGTTTCCACACAGGGGTGGCCCAGGGCCTAACCCCCATCTCACCTCACTCAAGTGCTGACCCATTTTATATGGCGGGTCCAACCGACCTCCCACCTATGCCACGGCCCACCCTGCTCTCTGGGAGACCTCAGAACATCTGCTGAGAGTGGGGTCTCCTGGGTGGGCATGGAGCCTGTCCTCCCTCTGTGCCCCTCACAAAGGGGCAGCGTAAAGGGGGAAGGGAGCCAGTGGAAGGGAGTCCACTCTCGGTTTCAGTCCTCAGCGCCAGGAGTGCCCCACACTCCCTGGGCCTCAGTACACGACCTGGGCTGGGGCTCTCCAGTGTCTGGGTGCAGGTGCCTGTTCCAGGCTAGGACCCCTCAGGCCAGGATCTGCCCCCTCCACTTGGGGAGTCAGGAGGGGCATGTGTGTATTTAGCCTTTTTCCTGGTTGGCTGAGGCTCCTTTGTCAGCGGTCTGGAAAGAGAGGAAGGGAGGCTGGGGGTTTGGGAGGTGCCCTGTCCTAACACCCAGTTAAGAACAGCTTCCTGGGTCAAGGAAGCTGTAGTAGGGTAGTGAGGGAGCCTGGGTAAAGCCAAGGTCAACGTGTGTGTGTGTGTGTGTGTGTGTGTGTGTGTGTGTGGTGTGTGTGTGTGTGTGGTGTGTGTGTGTGTGGTGTGTGTGTGTGTGTTGTGTTGTGTTGTGTTGTGTTGTGTTGTGTTGTGTTGTGTTGTGTTGTGTTGTGTTGTGTTGTGTTAAGGGGAGGTCAAGTTGCCCTGCACAGGGACACCTGGCTTAGCAGGTATGTGCCAGGGCCAGTACCCTGGGCTCTGGTTGTGTGTCCTCAGACAAAGTAGGGAGGGCCTTTCTTGAAATGGCCAACCCAGAACACCATCTCTTCCTAAATAGTCCACTCAGAATGGAAACAGACTTTCTAACTGGGCTTCCCAGAGGAATACCGTTTTCTAACTGGTCCTTTTACTATTAGCCCATGCTCAGAATGTTTCCTGGATCTAAAGGAGGGTGCAGATGCCAGCAGAGGCCCTAGAGTGGGTGCTTTGCTGACCTAGTGGGTCACTTCCTCCTTCTGATGATGCCTCTGATGACCTTCTGGTGCTCCATCCTGCCCATCCCAAAAGGCAGACAGCACAGCTCTGGACCCCTTACTCACCCCTCCTTTGGGACCACTGCCACTGCCGTCCGCCCCCGACAGGCTGAGGAAAGGGTTGGTCTGGGCGGTGAGGACTGGAGGCCCTCCGGCTGCTGCTACTGCTGCAGCTGCAGCTGCTGCGGCCATGAGACTTGTATTGTTGCTGAGTGAGGGAGCCACCAGGGCTCCAGCGGGCAGCAGGGGTGGGGCTGATGCTGTGGGCAGCAGGCCAGGGGTGCCCGCGGACAGCAGTGGGGTGGAGCTTCCTGCCAGTAGGCTGGCCATGGGCAGCTGGGAGCCTCCAGCCATCTGCAGCCGCTGTAGCTCCCGCTTCTGCTGGACCTGCTGGATCATCTGGTATACAACGGTCTGGTGTTCCTGCAATGCAGACAGATTCTCATTGGCCAGTGTCTTCGGGCCAGCTTCCCTGCTTGGCCTTGGCCCCGTCCCACCATACTGGTACTATGGGTAGGAGACCCAGGAGATAGTCAAGGTTCTGTACTAATTCCCCACTCTGGGCCTCAGTCTCCTCATCTGGATAAAGTGGATAAAGTGGTGATACTACAGTGTTTGTCAACTGGGGCCCCACCTTCCTCCCTAAATGTTCCTTAGTTGCTATGGAAACTACAAATGCCCCCAGGGCAGTATGACCACAGGCTGAGAAACAACTAGGTCAATAGTTTTCAACTTCCCGGTTTTTTTGCTTTTCATTTAAGATTTATTTATTTTTGCTTTGAATAGGCAAGGCATTTTCAGTGTTTGGAAAACTAAAACAATCTATCAAGGTTTACTTTAAGAAAATTTGTTCTTATCCTGGCTCCCATCTGGCCCTTATAGAGCAACCAGTTGAATTGGTTCTCTGTATATCTTTCTAATGTTTTCTTTATATCAAAATGATTACTTTTTCTATTTTTTCCACTCTCTCCTTTTTATAAAGCAGAACTCCTATTCTCCAAAGGAAATATCAGCAGATCAAGATCGACTCAAAAGGGGATGCTTTGGTTGAGGGTGTTTCACCTACTCAGCCAATGACAGGGCATTTGCCAACTTCCAGGTCCTCACACAGGATGCGATCTGGAACCACCACAGCAGCCCTCCACCAGTATCCAGGGCCCCCCGAAAGCAGCTCAAGCCCTCTGCTCCATGGGGCCCGCCCCCCGCAGGGCTCATCCTGGGGCTGCCTGCCCTCCCGACCCAGACCCTCTGGGGCATGGCTGGAACAGAGCCAGGGAGGCACACGGTACCGGCGTCAGCTGCGGGGATGCCAGGAGCTGCTGGAGCTGCTGGAGCTGCTGCTCGTGCTGCTGCAGGAGGTGTCGTTGCTGCTCGGTCAGGCTGACGCGGGGAATGACACACAGACCATGAGAAGGGACAGGGAGACTCGCCTTCCCCCAGCTGCCCACAAGTCCCGCACTCTCAGACCCAGGTGCAGGGAGGCGGGGATGTGCAGTGTCAGAGGACCAAGAGAAACAGACTGAGCTCAGAGGGTACAGTGGAAGGAGACAAGTTAGATGGAAGAACTTTCCCAGAAGGGAAACCTGGATTGGGATCCAAGAAATAAATACTATTTTGTCCCTGGAGAGTTACTAACATCTGGGGAGTACCTGGGCCAGTACCTGTAAAACTAGAGTACATTATTCCTTTTTGGAGGGCTTGTGGGTTTTTAGGGAGTCCCTCCCAGAGTCAGCCTCCCCATTCCCTCCCCAGGCTGAGCTCTCCCTCACCTGTTAAGACAACCTGGCAGCTGCAGCGTGGGGGCCCCGCCAGCCTGGCTCAAGCCGGCAGGGTTGGGGGCAGCAGCCCCATTCAACCCCCCCAAGAGCCCATTGAGGGGCAGGGCCCCGCTGCCCGCAAGTCCTCCCAACAGCCCCTCAGCCATGGGCATGGCCCCCAGCCCCGCTGCCCCGGGTGCCCGGCCCAGTCCATTTTGTGGCTGGGGTGGGAGCGGGGCAGGGGCCCCAGGCAGGGCCAGAGGCAGAGTAGCAGGGCTCTGCTGGAGCAGGGGCAGCGGTGGGGGCGTGCTGTGGAAGGACAGCGACGAGCTGCTGCGGCTTGGGCAGCCTGAGTGTGGGTCCTGGGGAGGGAGGGGGAAGGGAGGGGTCAGAGGGGCAGGGGGCCAGCATGACCTCTCTGGCCCCCGGCCCAGCACCCACCAACATTCTCATAGAGCAGAGCCACCCCCACCTCATCCCCAGGCAGAGCCACCCAGGAGGAAGAAGCAAGGTTCAGGGATAAGGGCTGAGAATCCAAATAGTCTTCACCAATTATGTTTACAAATCACTTGCTGGGGGCCTAGTACCCATTGCAATCCTTGCTTAATAATGAACAGTGATGATGGTAAAGACCATCTAGTGAATCAGACCTGGGGTTCTGTGCTTGACCTGCACTAAAGGCTCAGGCTCAAATCCTATGTCCACAATTCACTGTCTTGGGTGGTTCGTCTGTCTTAGTTCACTCACTCATAACATGGGGGCAATAGTAGTACCTATCCCACAAGGTTCTTGTGAAGGCTAAACAAACCAATGCTTTAAGTCTCAGCACAGGACATGACTCCAAAGTGTGCAATTAATGTCAGCTATTATTATGATTATCACTGTCCAAGTCACACAGTTAGTAAGTGGCAGGGAAAAAAAAGAACTGTTGGTTTGATTTCAATAGCAACCACAATGTAACAATAGTAAGGCTACCCTAACCACCACCAATTACACAGAGATTATTTTGTGTGAGGCACTGTAATAAACCCTTCAAAGATACTCCTCAAAGATGCCTTCCCTAGCCACCTTTTATCTGTAGAAGAATCCCACCCCCCACTCTTCCTCTCAGCCTCAAATTACTTCCATCTTAGCACTTTTTCCAGTTTATAATTACTGATTATTTTCTTGGACTTAGCCTACCTTCAAGAGCAGGGCCATGTCCCTTATTTTACTCACTGACTGCTTAGCCAGTACCTGGCACTAAGTAGGCACTTCATAATTAGTACTTATTTAATGACCGAATAAATAGATCAGTCAACCAACTGCTCAGCCAGTCACTTCATTGCCCAGCCTCCAAGAGCTGCAGGGTGGACACAGCACCAGGAGCCCCTTGCGCTTCCCCATTCCTGCCCGCCCATGGTGTTCCTCCCTATGGTGCCCACCTCGGAAGATGTGGACAGAGAGTTGTCCAGGCCCAGACTGTTCTTCCCTGGAGGGCTCTTGCTGGTGCTCAAGGAATCGGTGCTGCCGGCTGAGTGAGAGGATCAGCGAAGGAGGTCAGGGGTTGAAGTCGGGCCCACTACAGATGGCCTGGCACTCCCGGGCTGGGTGGGATCTCCTTACCTTGAGGAGGCAGGCCATAGGGCCCAGGGACAGGGCCGTTGGCAGCAGGCAAGGCAGCAGGCAGGGCAGGGAAGGGCACAGAGAGCTGCACGTTGAGAATCTGTAGTCGCTCCTTCTTGGCCGTCAGGCTCAGAATCTGCTCCTGAAGCCTCTGGTTTTCCTTCTGCAGCGCGTGCAGTGCCTTCAGCATCTCCACTACTGAGAAAAGAGGGCGAGTGCCCTGAGCCCTACAGGCCCACAGAGGCGGGGCGAGAGCTGGGGGTGGGGCTATGGTGGGGGCGGGCTTGGAGGGCGGGACCTGGCGGAGGAAACCCGTCTGAAACCTAGAAGAGAAGGTGCTGGCCAGCGGGGTCTCAGGTGAGCTCGGAGTAGCGGGACCTGGGGAGCCGGAGGTGTTAGGCCCAGGGGCGGGGCCTGGGCTCGCGGTGGAGGCCTTGTGATTGGCAGAGAAGGCGCGGACTTAGTACGGTTAGGGCCAGGAGGACGCGAGGGCCACTGGCGGGGTGCAGAAGGGGCGAGGCCGAGGTGAAATCTTAAAGACGTTTCGGGACCTCGGGCAGATGGGTGACCGAGTCTGGGGAGGTCCTAGGACAGGTCTCCCAGCCACCCCTCCTCACTGTTGACGCCGGCCTCGCCGTCGCCCTGCTTCTCTAAAAGCTGCTCCATGTTAGTCGTTCCGGGGGCCACTGGGTCTAATTGGCCGCCCCCGCAGGGTGCGGACGCTGTCTGGTCGAAGAGTGCAGGAAGGCTGCTTATGGGGGACCTGGGTCAGAGGGGAAAACCGAGCTCAGACTTACCTCAGGGCCCCACTCGTCTCCCTCTCTCCGCCCTCCACATCCAGGGGCTCCAGCCATCCACCTCCGGATTCCACCCTCCACGGGCGCCGGCCTCTCCGCCCCCTCCTCCCCTAGTGACCTTCCAGCCCCGCTCGCAGCCTCTCCCCCAAGCCACCGCTCCCCCCCTCACATGGAAGACAGACTCTCCTGGGGGGAGGTCCCCCGACACCGGAAGCTGCAGTCCTCCAGGTCTGGCTCTTGAAAGGAGAAGGGGAGCAGGAATCAGCGGGAAGGGGTGCCCTCGGAACCACGGTTCCCTCCAGGTAAGTGGGCACAGGATATGGGATCTTACCACAAATCCCTTCCCTCAGCATCTCCCATCCCCAGACTGGCAGTTCTAGTTCAAAAGGCACTAGGGAGCCCTGGTTTGGAAACCCACCCCTTGGGAGGCAAAGCCAAAGGATCTGGTCTCTTCCCCTCTCTCTGTGCAGAAAGCTACAGCTGCGTGCCTACTTTCAGATCCACCTTCCAATTTCTTTCCTGGAAGCTACAGCATTATAGAAATCCGCTGTCTAGACAGTCCTGGGTTGAACTAGGACCTGATTCTTCCTGTGTGACTCTTGGCTTGAAAATAACCTCTCTAAAATGACTGTTATGAGGACTAAAATGAGGTAATAAATGTGAAGTGTCAAGCTGATGGATTTAGCTGCCATGCAGCAAGCCCTTAGTAATTATAGCTATTACAATTTTGCACAACTTTTTATATTCATAAACTCACAAATTAGATGGAAAAACCCTTTGCTGGGCCACAGAATTCCAATTTGGGCTTTGGAAATATAGTCACCCAACTGTGTCAGATCCTAAAATTCTGGAATCGGACTTAGTCCTTTAAGACGGCCTACCTGAACTGGGAATCTGGAGGTAAGCCCTAGCCCCTATTGGCCAGATGGTGTCTCCTTACCAATCAGCTCTCTGGGACTCTGCTGACTCTCCAGGGAGATGGAGGGGCCGCTAGGAATCCACCCCCTTAACTCCTAAATACCCGGAGAGCAGGTTGCCCAGCTGGAAGGATCTCTTTATTCCAAGGACTCATTTAAGAGGCCAGTGGGCAACTATGCTGCAGCAGTAAGAGAACTGGACTTGGGGTCAGGGGGCCAGAATTTGAGCTCCAGCTCTGCCTTTCCCTACTTCAACTGCCTGTGCAAATCATAAATCTCTCTTTTTCTTCTGTGAGATGGAGCAGTAGTAATTCTGCAGTCCTACCCCACCTCCTCACCAAGTTTTAAGGTGAAAGTGTACCCTGGTTTGTAGTGTGAAAAAAACAATTATTTTTAAGGTTGGCAAAGGCCAAAGGGAGGGGGCAGCCAGAAAGCCCTCCCATCCTTCCTGGGCTGACATGCAGGAGGCAGGTGCCTAGCCTAAGCCTTTGGGAAGAAAGGGAAATGGGGTCAGAGACTCAACATACCTGTGTGGCTGCTCTCGACTTGGGTGAGGAGGGGATTAACAGTACCCATGGGGGTTCCAAAGATGTGGGTAGAAGGGAGGCTAAAGGTAGAGCCAGCCAGAGAAAACACCTGAAGGAAAGGAGGTAGAGTCCAGCCTGGTGGTTATTCTTGGATCTAGGGCACAACTGTGTGTACCGGGCTGTAGGGGACCAGGTGTGCTGGGGAGGAGAGAGGACCAGAGAGAGGGAGAAGTTCTGGTGGTGATCAAGCCCAATCTCTCAAAGTCCCGTGGAGAGGTGGGGTCCTCAGCAGCCTGTCCCCCACCTGCCCAGGGATGGAGGGGTCCAGGGGTAAGGCCTCACCTGAGTGGTGGAGATAGAAGCAGAGGAGGAGGGAAGGGTGCTGGTGAATGGGGAGCGGCTGAGGCGGGGCAAGGCCGAGGTCCCTGGGGGCCCCAGCAAGCTGGAGGAAAGGGGAGTGCTGCAGACAGCCCGCAGCATTCCGCCACCGTGGGAGATGGGGTCCTTGTTACTGGTGTAGATGCCTACAGGCACAGGACACAGAGGGAAGCTCATAGTCATGACTCTCCCCAGGCCCCTCCTCAGTCTGGTGGCCGGGGAAGCCCCTCCCCAGGCAGAACATTCTCCCAGATCTGGCCGTGCACACCAGTCTAACCCTCTCACTGCAAAGATGTCACTTCTTGCCTGGGTGACATCTGCTTTACAGGCCTCCTAATTAGGCTGTCCTGTCCAGTCCTGGGGAATTCCCAGCTTTTCTAATTCCCCAGCCAAAACTTGGCAAGTTCTATTGGCAATCTACCCCAGTCTCTCCCATTACAACCATGCAGAAGATGGGTACTGGAGAGTGTCTCAGAGATGACTGTCACCTCCATCCTTTATCTCTGTCCTCTGAAGCACTTCCTATCAAATTTCTTTCTCCATCCCCTCACTAGATTGGGTGGGCCCTAAGATGCCCTCCCCCCCAAGTCACTAACCTGCCCCCAGAAGGGGGGACTCCAGGCTTAGGCTGGGCAGGCTTGCAGAAGGCCCAAAGGTGCGGGAGGCCAGACCACCCAGGCCAGAGCTGACCAGGGAACCACCAGAGAAGGGTGAGGCAGCAGTGGCGGTAAAGCCAGCCAGCTGGGCACTGGGCAGGGAGGAAGCAGCTGGACCCCCAGTGCCCTCCTTGTTCCGGCTGCCCTTAGGCCGGCCCGGCCCATGTCGGCTCCTCTTGCTGGCTTTGTGCTTCTTCTCCTTCAGGCCTGTCTCAGGGGTCTCTTCAACAGGCACTGGAGCAGCGCTCAGTGTGGGCATCCGCTTGTGGGTACCGGATGAAGCCCCAGACCCCGACACGTGGGAAGACTTACAGTCCCCAGGGGATGGGGCCCGGACCCGGCCTGAGCTGGAGGTGGTGGTGGAGAAGCGCATAATGGGCCCAAAGCCAGAGAAGACCACCTTCTGTTCAAAGAGGTCAGCCTTGGGGGGCTCAGGGGCTGAGGGAGAGGGAGGGGCTGAAGGGGCAGGGGCTGTGGGCTTGGAGTATTTGTCCTCCTCTGGCTGCTCCAGCTTGGGGAATGCAGAGAAGTCAGGGGAGCTCTGCAGGGATGAGACTACAAAGAGGGGAAAGTTAGTTACAGCTGGACCCCAGACCCTTCCCACTTCCAATGTGCACCAGTTGGGAAAGCTCTGGTCGAGGGGTGAGGAAGCCCGGTTTCTTGTCCCAGCTCTGTCACTGTCTCTGTGTCCTGGGATGAGTGTGTCCCCTGCTCCAGTTTTCCCACCTGTGATGAAATGGGAGGAGAATGCCTCCCCACCCTACTGACTCCACTGGGTGAGTACAGAGATTATAAGAGATGTCATTAGTGACACTGCTTTAAAGATGGCACCTTATAGTCTACATGTAGGGCATAATGAATATTGCTATCTTGTTGGAGGGGAGGGCCCTGAGAGGGAGAGCAGGAGAGTTCCAGCTCAGGAAGAAAGGGTTGAGGGACGGGTTTGGAGAAGAGTCACTTGGTGGGGATCCCCCATCTTTAACCTGAACCAATTTAAGCAAATGAGATGCAAACCAATATGCAAAGGCCCTTATTAAGAAAGCTGGGAGCCAAAGGGTGTCCCACTCCCGGCCTCCTCTAGGATGCCCACACTCACCTGCAGGCTGGAAGGGCCCCCCAGAGGAGGAGGAAGAGGAGGAGGAGGAGGAGGAGGAGGAGGCAGAGGTGAGACCGCTCACACCTTTGCCGCTGCTCAGCTTCTTCCCCTTGTGACTCAGGCTGTGGCTGGAAGACTTTTTCCCCTTTGAGTCCCTGCTGCTTTCCGAGGTCTCCTGAGTGCTGGCCTCGTGGTGGGAAGAGGAGGAAGCTGAGGAGGAGACCTGAGGGAGGGAGAAGAGGGGAAGGCTCAAGGCCAGATGCCCAGCCCCGGGCTCATCTGACGTGGGAGTGGAGCAGGAGGCTACAGGACCTGGGGCCGACTGCGAGAGCCCAGAGCGAGCTTCAGGAAGGACTTCCAGGCAGGGGGCCTCTAGACCAGGAAGACAGGGAAGCAGCTATTTAACTTCTGGGTGTGAAAAGGGAGCACTCTGAATCCAAGAAGCTGTCTGCCTTTCATTTCAGACAGAGAGAGATGAAAACGGTCCCAGAGTCTGTCCTGCTGTACTCATCTGTAGATCATTCATTTAAGAAATACTCAGAAGGTTTGATATCTTGATCTGGGTTATGGTTATGTGAGTGTATACACATGTCAAAATTCATCAAGCTGTACACTAAGATCGATGCATTTTATTGTACCTCAATATAAAAAAGTAATAAATTTAATGAAAATAAATATTCAAGGGGGCCTAAGGGGGCTGACTTGTGCTGGGAAGTGGTCTGCACTGGGAAGAGGGACCACAGGAAGAATGGGCTGCCCTGGCGCCATCCACGGGCCCTCTGGTCACCACCACCCATCCTGTGCATCCAGAGCTGCAGCCACCTGGCTGACTCCCCATTCCTCTCCATGCCTTTCCTAGGCAGCCTGAGCTTGCAGAGCCCAGCCCTCGGCAGGGGCACCTACCCTTATTCTTTCTGGGAAACTTCTCACCCTTCAAAATCCAGCTAGGAAGTCCTCTCTTCTATGAAGCCATCCTAAATGCCTGGGGTGGAATAAGTCACTCTGTCCTCCTACTTCCAGAGCACCATGTACCCACGTCAGCCATGTCAACAGTTGCCACACTGTACTGAAATACACTGTCTTCATGTCTGAGGCTTCCAGAGCAGGGGTTAGGGGAGCATGGACCCTGGGGGGCGGGCACAGTGGGTTGTGTGCCTGGTGGGCTCTGCTGTCTACTGCCATTAAGTTGTGCAGTCTCTCAACCTTGCTGAGCTTCTGTGTCCTTAAGGGGCCAAATATGCCTATCTGGAGAGTCATGAGGAACATACTGCCAGATACATGGTAGGGGGTCAGTAATGATGATGAATCTGATGGCAGTGTCTGCTGTTAACACCACAGAGACAGTGTGTGTGTGGTGGTTAAGACAACAGGCCTTCAAGCCAGACTGCCAGGGTTCAAATCTTGACTCCACCACATATTAGCTGTATGCTTTTAGGCAATTACTTAACCTCTCTTTTTCATCATTTCTCAGTTCTTTCATTTATTAACAGGTGTTAGTAAAATACCTACTTCATTGGATTATTTTGAGGATTAAATGAGCTAATCTGCATGCACCCTTCCATCCCCATTTCAGAAGGGAGCCTGGCATGTGGCGAGTTAGGGCTTCATATTACTGCCAGGGATGGTGCTTCCAGGTATTCTGTAAATGAACTAATGCTGGAGGAGGATAGAGAGGGGATAAGAGCCACCAGCCACCCTGCACTGCCCCTCCTGGGCGGAGCCCTGGTCTCTGTCTTCCTCTTTGGTCTTTTCAACAGCTGGAGTTCTGAGGGGAGCCAGATGTGGTTCTAAGAGCAAGGGAGGAGAGGGGATGGGGGAAGGGGTGGCTGAAATGCTGGGGTGCAGGGAGATGGGCAGAAGGCTCCAATGTGTCCAAGGGGACACCTGACCAATGGGGCAACTCCCAGATCTCTGACCCTTTCCACCTGCCTGTGGGCTGCAGGGAAAAGTCAGAGGGCACATGACAAGTTTTCCAGGTGAGCCCTGGAAAGCAGGGAGGGGAGAGTGAGATGGTTGCCACAGCAACATCAGGTGGAAACCTGACACCTGAGCCTCCTGCTAAGATGCCCGGAGTTCTGCCAACCTCCTGAGGCAGGGGAGGTGAATGGGGCAAAAGTGGCAACAGGAGGAAGCAGTTTCTCCAGGCCCCTGTTCTTCTATGGGGACAGCGGGCTGAAAGGAGGGGCAGGGAACGCTGCTCTGGCTTTGATTAGTGACAACTTGGCCTCAGGTAAGGGCCTGCTGGTTGCTCATGCAGATGTTGCCCATTTCTGGAGATAGGCCTGACATACCCTACCCCTGCTGTAAGAGGGGGATGAGTCAGGGCTTCATGGTGTTCCCCAGCAGCCTGCCCCATATGCCACCATGGGCCACAACCCTTCCAACCTTCCAACCTTCATGGATGGGATTTGGTTAGGTGACAGGCTCTGGGTGGCCTCCTGATGTGGGCAAGGGGTGGGAGCAAAGGTGTCCTCTCTGCCTGTCTCCAGGGAAATGGGCCCCAGAAACTTGGGAGAACTGGCCTGAGTACTTTATCCACAGACAAGAGCCAGCGCTGAGGCCCTCTGTCTGGACAGAGGCAGATGTGAACATCTGGCAGCCAGCAGGCAGGGCAGGACCTCCGCCCCGTGCCCCACCCCCATCTGCTTGCAGTGACTGGAGGGCTGAGGAGCACAAGCCCCTCCTAGTCTAGCCCCAGGAGGTGGGCAGAGGAGGGCTGGGGAGCTGAGGCACATCACCCTGAAGCTGTGGTGGGTGCCAGGCCCTGGCTCGCCCTGCCCCTCGCCCCTTGCCTCCCTCCTGCTGCCATGGCCATCCCTCCTGAGTGTAGGCAGCAGTACCTTGTCAGCAGTGGGGACCACAGGCGGGGTGAGGATGCTGGGGGGTGACTCAGGCCGCTTCTTGTGCTTCTGTTTAAGGCGTTCTTTGTCCTTTCGACTCTGAGGAGGGAGAGGCAACCAGATATTGGTATTGGGGGACACTTAGGCAAGGATAACATGACATGTGCATGTGGGGCTTTGGCATCATCTCCCTGTATGGAGGCCTGGGGAACTTTGGCTGGACAAGAATGGCTCAGGAAGGTTCCTCTGGGAGCCAAGAGCCCCTCCCCTATATCCTCACTGCCTGCTAAAAATAGCCTGTCCCATTATCACGCCAGTGACACAGAACACCACACAAGCATGCACCTGGCAAGGGTGTCCACCCAGGAGACAGAGCTGTGCAGAGGGGTGGGAGCCGGGCACACTGATGTGCAGTACGAGGAGACACAGGCATGTACACTTGCAAACTGGTGTGACACTGTGGAGACTGTTAAGGTGTATGCAAATGTGCAGGGCCATGTGTTGGGCCTTTGGGGACACTATTAAGTCATGGGAGGACACAGAGGAATCACAGACACAAAGAGCCTCGGGGAAGCCAGGTCCTTACTTCACCCTCCATGACCATCCTGTGTCACTTTCTCAGCTCAGCCCCCTTCTGGGCCTCAGTGGCCTCAAGGGAAGCGAGGGGGCAGGCCAGTGGTGGCTTCTTGAAAGGTGTGTGTTTGTCAGTATGGACAGAGAAGACTTTTACCTTCTTCTGGCCCCTGTCGTGGTGGGAAGGGTGCTTCTCCTGCTGGGTGGATGGTGAGGCTGATCGGCTTCTCCTGCCAGCGATGAAGCCACTGCCACCTCCCCCTGTGCCGCCTCCTCCTCCTCCCCCTCCCCCGCTGGTGTGCCGGGATGTCTTCTAGGGGAGAGAATTGAAAGGAATTGCCAAACACTCCTCTCACTAGTTTAGGGGAAGGTAAGGTTTCTGAAGGTCAAATGCTCGTGGGGGGCCAGTTCCCCCAACTCTGCCTGTCACCAAGAAGACCCAGTATCTTCAGTGATGCTCTGCTCAGCAGAAGGGCATTCTCTGGCCCGAAATCCCAGAGCTTCCCCAGCTGGCTTATCCAATGCACACATTTGGCAGCTGAGGCCCTTAAAAGCCAGGGGCATCTTAGGCCCAGCAAGGCATGGCTGGAGGTAGGACTTGAGCCCAGGTCTCTTGCTCTCCACCCACCTCTTTCTAAGAGGTGCCCTCTTGGCTCATCTCAGGTAGCCTGAGTCACGGCCCTCCCCCACTTCCTTCCCCTAGGGTAGAGATGTATGGGGAGCTCTCGTGGGGAGCTCCTGTTCCCCTTCACTCCCACACCTCATCCTCCCCCTAGACAATTCACTCTAGCCATCAACCCTTTTTCCCATATTCTTGGGCCTCCCCCTCCACCAAACAGTGGTTCCTTCTGTCTCAGAGGACCTGCTGCCTTTAAGAAGTAAAACATCTGCAACAGCAAAACCCCAAACGACGTTTGTGCTGCCTTTCCTTTCAGCCATCCCTTCACTGATAATCGGCTGCCTCCTGCTTAGTCTGATAGCTTCCCCCATCCCAGACTTGCAGCTGCTCTCTCCAAGGTTACCCACTACCTCCCAGTTGCCAAATCTAAGGACTGGTTTCAGGCCTTGTTCAACCCAATTGCTCCCCAGCGGTGGGTACCACTCCTACCCTGGAGTCTAGACTCTCCCTTCATGGTTCACTTCATACCTTGATCCACCCTACCCAAGTCACTAACCTGCCCCCAGAAGGGGGGACTCCAGGCTTAGGCTGGGCAGGCTTGCAGAAGGCCCAAAGGTGCGGGAGGCCAGACCACCCAGGCCAGAGCTGACCAGGGAACCACCAGAGAAGGGTGAGGCAGCAGTGGCGGTAAAGCCAGCCAGCTGGGCACTGGGCAGGGAGGAAGCAGCTGGACCCCCAGTGCCCTCCTTGTTCCGGCTGCCCTTAGGCCGGCCCGGCCCATGTCGGCTCCTCTTGCTGGCTTTGTGCTTCTTCTCCTTCAGGCCTGTCTCAGGGGTCTCTTCAACAGGCACTGGAGCAGCGCTCAGTGTGGGCATCCGCTTGTGGGTACCGGATGAAGCCCCAGACCCCGACACGTGGGAAGACTTACAGTCCCCAGGGGATGGGGCCCGGACCCGGCCTGAGCTGGAGGTGGTGGTGGAGAAGCGCATAATGGGCCCAAAGCCAGAGAAGACCACCTTCTGTTCAAAGAGGTCAGCCTTGGGGGGCTCAGGGGCTGAGGGAGAGGGAGGGGCTGAAGGGGCAGGGGCTGTGGGCTTGGAGTATTTGTCCTCCTCTGGCTGCTCCAGCTTGGGGAATGCAGAGAAGTCAGGGGAGCTCTGCAGGGATGAGACTACAAAGAGGGGAAAGTTAGTTACAGCTGGACCCCAGACCCTTCCCACTTCCAATGTGCACCAGTTGGGAAAGCTCTGGTCGAGGGGTGAGGAAGCCCGGTTTCTTGTCCCAGCTCTGTCACTGTCTCTGTGTCCTGGGATGAGTGTGTCCCCTGCTCCAGTTTTCCCACCTGTGATGAAATGGGAGGAGAATGCCTCCCCACCCTACTGACTCCACTGGGTGAGTACAGAGATTATAAGAGATGTCATTAGTGACACTGCTTTAAAGATGGCACCTTATAGTCTACATGTAGGGCATAATGAATATTGCTATCTTGTTGGAGGGGAGGGCCCTGAGAGGGAGAGCAGGAGAGTTCCAGCTCAGGAAGAAAGGGTTGAGGGACGGGTTTGGAGAAGAGTCACTTGGTGGGGATCCCCCATCTTTAACCTGAACCAATTTAAGCAAATGAGATGCAAACCAATATGCAAAGGCCCTTATTAAGAAAGCTGGGAGCCAAAGGGTGTCCCACTCCCGGCCTCCTCTAGGATGCCCACACTCACCTGCAGGCTGGAAGGGCCCCCCAGAGGAGGAGGAAGAGGAGGAGGAGGAGGAGGAGGAGGAGGCAGAGGTGAGACCGCTCACACCTTTGCCGCTGCTCAGCTTCTTCCCCTTGTGACTCAGGCTGTGGCTGGAAGACTTTTTCCCCTTTGAGTCCCTGCTGCTTTCCGAGGTCTCCTGAGTGCTGGCCTCGTGGTGGGAAGAGGAGGAAGCTGAGGAGGAGACCTGAGGGAGGGAGAAGAGGGGGAGGCTCAAGGCCAGATGCCCAGCCCCGGGCTCCTCTGACGTGGGAGTGGAGCAGGAGGCTACAGGACCTGGGGCCGACTGCGAGAGCCCAGAGCGAGCTTCAGGAAGGACTTCCAGGCAGGGGGCCTCTAGACCAGGAAGACAGGGAAGCAGCTATTTAACTTCTGGGTGTGAAAAGGGAGCACTCTGAATCCAAGAAGCTGTCTGCCTTTCATTTCAGACAGAGAGAGATGAAAACGGTCCCAGAGTCTGTCCTGCTGTACTCATCTGTAGATCATTCATTTAAGAAATACTCAGAAGGTTTGATATCTTGATCTGGGTTATGGTTATGTGAGTGTATACACATGTCAAAATTCATCAAGCTGTACACTAAGATCGATGCATTTTATTGTACCTCAATATAAAAAAGTAATAAATTTAATGAAAATAAATATTCAAGGGGGCCTAAGGGGGCTGACTTGTGCTGGGAAGTGGTCTGCACTGGGAAGAGGGACCACAGGAAGAATGGGCTGCCCTGGCGCCATCCACGGGCCCTCTGGTCACCACCACCCATCCTGTGCATCCAGAGCTGCAGCCACCTGGCTGACTCCCCATTCCTCTCCATGCCTTTCCTAGGCAGCCTGAGCTTGCAGAGCCCAGCCCTCGGCAGGGGCACCTACCCTTATTCTTTCTGGGAAACTTCTCACCCTTCAAAATCCAGCTAGGAAGTCCTCTCTTCTATGAAGCCATCCTAAATGCCTGGGGTGGAATAAGTCACTCTGTCCTCCTACTTCCAGAGCACCATGTACCCACGTCAGCCATGTCAACAGTTGCCACACTGTACTGAAATACACTGTCTTCATGTCTGAGGCTTCCAGAGCAGGGGTTAGGGGAGCATGGACCCTGGGGGGCGGGCACAGTGGGTTGTGTGCCTGGTGGGCTCTGCTGTCTACTGCCATTAAGTTGTGCAGTCTCTCAACCTTGCTGAGCTTCTGTGTCCTTAAGGGGCCAAATATGCCTATCTGGAGAGTCATGAGGAACATACTGCCAGATACATGGTAGGGGGTCAGTAATGATGATGAATCTGATGGCAGTGTCTGCTGTTAACACCACAGAGACAGTGTGTGTGTGGTGGTTAAGACAACAGGCCTTCAAGCCAGACTGCCAGGGTTCAAATCTTGACTCCACCACATATTAGCTGTATGCTTTTAGGCAATTACTTAACCTCTCTTTTTCATCATTTCTCAGTTCTTTCATTTATTAACAGGTGTTAGTAAAATACCTACTTCATTGGATTATTTTGAGGATTAAATGAGCTAATCTGCATGCACCCTTCCATCCCCATTTCAGAAGGGAGCCTGGCATGTGGCGAGTTAGGGCTTCATATTACTGCCAGGGATGGTGCTTCCAGGTATTCTGTAAATGAACTAATGCTGGAGGAGGATAGAGAGGGGATAAGAGCCACCAGCCACCCTGCACTGCCCCTCCTGGGCGGAGCCCTGGTCTCTGTCTTCCTCTTTGGTCTTTTCAACAGCTGGAGTTCTGAGGGGAGCCAGATGTGGTTCTAAGAGCAAGGGAGGAGAGGGGATGGGGGAAGGGGTGGCTGAAATGCTGGGGTGCAGGGAGATGGGCAGAAGGCTCCAATGTGTCCAAGGGGACACCTGACCAATGGGGCAACTCCCAGATCTCTGACCCTTTCCACCTGCCTGTGGGCTGCAGGGAAAAGTCAGAGGGCACATGACAAGTTTTCCAGGTGAGCCCTGGAAAGCAGGGAGGGGAGAGTGAGATGGTTGCCACAGCAACATCAGGTGGAAACCTGACACCTGAGCCTCCTGCTAAGATGCCCGGAGTTCTGCCAACCTCCTGAGGCAGGGGAGGTGAATGGGGCAAAAGTGGCAACAGGAGGAAGCAGTTTCTCCAGGCCCCTGTTCTTCTATGGGGACAGCGGGCTGAAAGGAGGGGCAGGGAACGCTGCTCTGGCTTTGATTAGTGACAACTTGGCCTCAGGTAAGGGCCTGCTGGTTGCTCATGCAGATGTTGCCCATTTCTGGAGATAGGCCTGACATACCCTACCCCTGCTGTAAGAGGGGGATGAGTCAGGGCTTCATGGTGTTCCCCAGCAGCCTGCCCCATATGCCACCATGGGCCACAACCCTTCCAACCTTCCAACCTTCATGGATGGGATTTGGTTAGGTGACAGGCTCTGGGTGGCCTCCTGATGTGGGCAAGGGGTGGGAGCAAAGGTGTCCTCTCTGCCTGTCTCCAGGGAAATGGGCCCCAGAAACTTGGGAGAACTGGCCTGAGTACTTTATCCACAGACAAGAGCCAGCGCTGAGGCCCTCTGTCTGGACAGAGGCAGATGTGAACATCTGGCAGCCAGCAGGCAGGGCAGGACCTCCGCCCCGTGCCCCACCCCCATCTGCTTGCAGTGACTGGAGGGCTGAGGAGCACAAGCCCCTCCTAGTCTAGCCCCAGGAGGTGGGCAGAGGAGGGCTGGGGAGCTGAGGCACATCACCCTGAAGCTGTGGTGGGTGCCAGGCCCTGGCTCGCCCTGCCCCTCGCCCCTTGCCTCCCTCCTGCTGCCATGGCCATCCCTCCTGAGTGTAGGCAGCAGTACCTTGTCAGCAGTGGGGACCACAGGCGGGGTGAGGATGCTGGGGGGTGACTCAGGCCGCTTCTTGTGCTTCTGTTTAAGGCGTTCTTTGTCCTTTCGACTCTGAGGAGGGAGAGGCAACCAGATATTGGTATTGGGGGACACTTAGGCAAGGATAACATGACATGTGCATGTGGGGCTTTGGCATCATCTCCCTGTATGGAGGCCTGGGGAACTTTGGCTGGACAAGAATGGCTCAGGAAGGTTCCTCTGGGAGCCAAGAGCCCCTCCCCTATATCCTCACTGCCTGCTAAAAATAGCCTGTCCCATTATCACGCCAGTGACACAGAACACCACAGAAGCATGCACCTGGCAAGGGTGTCCACCCAGGAGACAGAGCTGTGCAGAGGGGTGGGAGCCGGGCACACTGATGTGCAGTACGAGGAGACACAGGCATGTACACTTGCAAACTGGTGTGACACTGTGGAGACTGTTAAGGTGTATGCAAATGTGCAGGGCCATGTGTTGGGCCTTTGGGGACACTATTAAGTCATGGGAGGACACAGAGGAATCACAGACACAAAGAGCCTCGGGGAAGCCAGGTCCTTACTTCACCCTCCATGACCATCCTGTGTCACTTTCTCAGCTCAGCCCCCTTCTGGGCCTCAGTGGCCTCAAGGGAAGCGAGGGGGCAGGCCAGTGGTGGCTTCTTGAAAGGTGTGTGTTTGTCAGTATGGACAGAGAAGACTTTTACCTTCTTCTGGCCCCTGTCGTGGTGGGAAGGGTGCTTCTCCTGCTGGGTGGATGGTGAGGCTGATCGGCTTCTCCTGCCAGCGATGAAGCCACTGCCACCTCCCCCTGTGCCGCCTCCTCCTCCTCCCCCTCCCCCGCTGGTGTGCCGGGATGTCTTCTAGGGGAGAGAATTGAAAGGAATTGCCAAACACTCCTCTCACTAGTTTAGGGGAAGGTAAGGTTTCTGAAGGTCAAATGCTCGTGGGGGGCCAGTTCCCCCAACTCTGCCTGTCACCAAGAAGACCCAGTATCTTCAGTGATGCTCTGCTCAGCAGAAGGGCATTCTCTGGCCCGAAATCCCAGAGCTTCCCCAGCTGGCTTATCCAATGCACACATTTGGCAGCTGAGGCCCTTAAAAGCCAGGGGCATCTTAGGCCCAGCAAGGCATGGCTGGAGGTAGGACTTGAGCCCAGGTCTCTTGCTCTCCACCCACCTCTTTCTAAGAGGTGCCCTCTTGGCTCATCTCAGGTAGCCTGAGTCACGGCCCTCCCCCACTTCCTTCCCCTAGGGTAGAGATGTATGGGGAGCTCTCGTGGGGAGCTCCTGTTCCCCTTCACTCCCACACCTCATCCTCCCCCTAGACAATTCACTCTAGCCATCAACCCTTTTTCCCATATTCTTGGGCCTCCCCCTCCACCAAACAGTGGTTCCTTCTGTCTCAGAGGACCTGCTGCCTTTAAGAAGTAAAACATCTGCAACAGCAAAACCCCAAACGACGTTTGTGCTGCCTTTCCTTTCAGCCATCCCTTCACTGATAATCGGCTGCCTCCTGCTTAGTCTGATAGCTTCCCCCATCCCAGACTTGCAGCTGCTCTCTCCAAGGTTACCCACTACCTCCCAGTTGCCAAATCTAAGGACTGGTTTCAGGCCTTGTTCAACCCAATTGCTCCCCAGCGGTGGGTACCACTCCTACCCTGGAGTCTAGACTCTCCCTTCATGGTTCACTTCATACCTTGATCCACCCTACCCTGTTGGGCACCTGTCCAGCCTTATGTACCTGGGGCTGCCACTACCACCCTGCCTGGGGGTCTGACAGCCACCAAACTTGAATACCCCTACTTGGCACTGCCTATAAACCAAACCAAGCTCTCTACCCTGTCCTAAGAAGTCACCAAAGCCTGAAACCAGGATACTTTTGAAAATGAACTATGAATAATTATACCAGGGAAACAGACACAAACTGGGACATCTGGGATAGACCAAGACATGTGTTACCTCTCCAGAAGCCCACTGCACCCCCTGTTCACAGCACCCTCAGGTGCTCAAGAGTCAAGAGCCTATTTACCACCCTCATCTCCTTCTCAGCCCCCACCACCTGTAGGCAAGTCTATCCAGAAATGGTTCTAGAGTCCAGGCCCATCCTGCCATGGCCCCCCCTTCTCGCAGCTGTCTCTCAGCCACCAGCCTCGGCCCTTCAGATCTAGCTTCACAGTGGCTGCCAGGGTAATCTTCCTAAAAAACAAATCTGATCATGTTGCCCTTCTACTTACAAGCAGCCTTAGAAGCCTGTGACGTGGAGATGAGGTCCAAGCTGCACTCCCAGTCAGACCACAGCCTACCTCTCCAGGACAGCCCCTAGTACCTAGGATATGCAAGTCTTTCCTTGGGGCCCCTGAGGCTTGGGGCGGAAGCAAGCACAGCTCCAGCCCTGCCTCAGCTTTTTCCTTTCATCTCCTGCCTCATTTCTACCAAACACCCTGTTGTGTGCTTACGAATTCTTTCTCATCTCAGGACTTTTTCCATGCCAGTTCCTCTCCCTTGGATTCATTTCTCTGTCTTTGCTTGGCAGGCTCCTAAGGCACTTTCAAATCAGACTACCTGTTCCAAATCCCATACACCAGCTATGAGATAAGTCACATAACCTTGGTAGGTCTTAAGATTCCTCAGCTACAAAATGGGAACACACAGTATACCTAGTGCTTAGGGTTGCTGGCAGGATCACATACAATAACACACATAAAGACTCAGAACAGAGGCAAGGGCCCAGAAACCCTGGCTCTTACTGTTTCCACCTCCACTCAGCTTAAATGCTGCCTCTTCCTTCAAACCTCCCAGTCTCTGACACGTAGGGTCTGAGCTCTGTCCTCTGGGAAGGACTGCTTGGTTCAACTCTGATTCACATCCCTCAGGCTATACTTCAATTTGTTCCTTGTCCAGCGGCAAGCTCCTCAAGGGCAGGGACCGGGTTCCTTCCATCTCTGTCCTCCCAGAACCAGGAACCAGCCTGGCCCAGAGCCCATGCCCTCTAAACCATGGCTGACTGACTCACTCATGCCCTGGCAGACAAGACTCACCATCTTGCTAAAGTGGTATTTGCAGTAGCCGCAGTACTTGACATTGTCAACCTCCAGTACTTCTTCCTCACACAGCAGGCCTGCCATTTGGGCACTAACCAAGAGAGGTCAGCCTGAGAAGGGTGTGGCCACAAACCAGACCAACCACCTCCCTCCCACCCTCCTAGATGCCTGCTGAGGCAAAGCCAAGACCATGCAAGGAGAGCACTGCCTTCACCACCAAAGAGACAGCAGCAAGGATGAGCCCACTCAGTGGCCCCATCCAAGGCAAACCTCGGAGGGGGCTGGTACAGCTGGCCAGGGATCCCAGATGAACCCTGGGGGCTGAGGAGGGTGTGCAGGGCAGGCAGGGGTCTCACCAGGTGACATGGAAAGCTTGTCGACATCCATGGCGGTTACAGGTCATGCAGGCTCCTGAGGCTGCCTTGCTCTCCCGGCCCTGCTCCTCACAGATGTAACATGTCTGCAAGACACATCACACTCGTCCCCTCCTCCCTTCTACCTGAGGGATCCTTTGGCCTCCCCCTCAATTCCATCCTCTCCCTGTGATCCTAGGTCAGTGCTAGCCAACAGAACTTTCTGTGATGATGAACCACACAGTCCCATACAGGAGCCATGAATCACATGGGCTGTTGAGCACTTGAAGTATGACTGAGGAATTGAATTTTAAGTTGTATTTAACTTTAATTAACTTACATAGCCACATGTGGCTTGTGGCTACTATACTGGATAACACAGTACTTAGATGGTAAGCTCCATAAGGCCAGGAGCTATCTTGCTCATTGGTGAGCTTATTCCCACCTCTGGGCCTTTGCACATGCTGTTCCTTCTGACTGGAATCTGGAACCCCACCCTCCTCAAGGCTGGCTCCTTCTCATCCCCTAGGTTTCAAACTAAATGGCTCCTTCACTTTCTCTGAAGCCCCCCAAAAGCAGTATTCGTTATTTCAGTACCTTGATTGTTTTCTTCACAGCACTTACAACAAACTGCATTTCCCTTATTCGCCTATTTATTGATATTTACAGTCTTGGCACGTAAGAGCGTGAATTCCATGGGGTAGGGATGGCTTGAACCATCCCTATATACTGAACACTGTGCTTGGTACCTGCCCAGGTCTGGCACATAGCAGGCACTCAGTAAAAAGTGTTCAGTGAATGAGCAGGTGAGCGGCTTACTGAGGTCTACCCTCTGGCGGCACTAGTGTAGACAGCCTACTACCTCATGAGTTCCTGAGCATGAACACGTATGTGTGTGTCAGTGGAAAGGCCTACCCACCTCCTGAGTTTTCTATCAGACAAAATCAAATAACACTGGATGTGGAGAGAGCTGGAGGGACCCAAGGATGGTTGGCTAGGGCAGGGCTGGTATGGGGCACAGCAGGGGCTGCTGACCTTGTTGAAGCGATCATGAGGCACATACTGCAGCACGATGGGCTCCATGGTGAGCACGTTGGCAAACTGCACCTCAGGGATGTAGAGGGCACACACCACGTGGGCCCAGCCTGGGGCGGTGTGGGGCCAGCCTCAGCTACGATAGTGAGCCCGAGACCCTGGCCCCTCAACCCCACACTGCAGACATTCCCCTCACCCAAGGCCTTCCCATCAGACTGGTGCTGGCCAGGGAAGGGAGACCCAGCCTCCATGCCCCCTCCATCCCTCCACCACCACACCCTGCTCAGGGGGCACTGCTGACCTCATCAGATGAACCCTTGGGCTCAGGGCCCCCCTCACCTCCATTGTCAGTCCTCTTCAATGCCCCATCTTTGTGTGGGCACAGCTCACACCTCTGCCAATGCAAGGGAACACAGGGATTGAGAGGTGGCTTTCCAAAAGGGGATGGGGGAATCTGATGAGCTGGACCCTCCCCAAACAGTCAAAAGGTCCCCAGATGAAATGATAAGCCATCTGTGAGGGAGGGGTGGGGGTCTAGAGGAACAGGATTGGCCGTGAGTGATAATTGTTGATGATGGGCAATCAGGAATGAGGTTCATTATAGTAGTCCCTCTACTTTTGCACAGGTTGGAAACTTTCCATAATAAAAAGTTCAAACAAATAAACAAACAAAAAAAGTACAGTGAGTGAACTGGGGTAGAGGAAAGGATGAGCTGAGGAAGAGATAGGGTTGGTGATAGGTATGCAGAAAACAGGAAGTCCTGTGTGACAGTCACACCCTAGCCTCAGATAGTCTCTTAGCTCAAAGGGCAGGAGATGCCCAGGTGTATAGGGGGTGGGGCTCAAACTCACCACCCTGGCTGCTCGCTCCTGAGATTCACATTTCCGGCAGAACCAGGGTCCAGTTGGCACCTGGACGATGCCATAGCAAGCTGGGGTGGGGGAGGAGAAGTACAGAGAATAACAATCAGGAGTGGCTTCTCTCGGAGTAACTGCGGGGAGGGGATGACTATAAAGGACTAGAGCCAGTTCCACCAGGGGAGAATTCTCCGCTATGTGGGGATCACCCACTAGATAGCAGGACCACAAAAAATGCCCAACAGCACACTATCAGCTTTCAACCACACAACCAAGCACTTTGAGCAGGGGCGGGGAGTCAGTCCTTGACCTTAAACTTCTAAAAGATCCCCCGCCGGTGCCCTTTAAGGACCTGTGTCCCAGCTCCTGGCCAGGACGGGTCCTCCTCTTGAGGAATAGAGAAAACCAGAGGGACAACATTTACCATAGTCAAACACGTTTTGTTGTTGTGGCGGGGAGGGCATTTCTTAAAGGGCCAGTAAGGGAAGAGGCGGGGAAGTCGGGGGTCCAGGAACCTCCACTTCTGCCTCTAACTACAATAGGTACAAGTCAAAAGTCAAAGCTGAACTCAGGTGCAGATACGGAGAGAAGAGTGGCGGGAAGAGCCAACAGCAACAGCATTAAGGGCTGTCCCAGGAAGAGGGGGCAGCAGTTGGCTATGCCAGACAGGCGGGAGATGCCAGCCTGCGCCCTCGGCAAGACTCCTCAAGGAGTTAACTCCCGAACCATGTGCTGCCGGGGGAAACTCTAAACCTCCCTCTTCTCTACTCCCGGCCCCCTGTACAACCTCTCTCCTATCCGCAGCTCTTCCCGGGAGGGTTTTAGGAGTCCCCCTCTCCCCTGGGACTCCTCTCCTCCCTTCCCCATCCAGCTCCTCCCAGTATCCGGAAGCGGGAGGGGGGATGACCCCCCCTTGACCTCTCCCTCCCGGAGCCGGGACCAAAATAACCGGGCGGGAGGGGACACCTCGCAGGTAAACATTACCCCAGCAGCCCCGACACCGGCGGTGTGGGACGCAGAGAGTACACTCACTGCCCCCTAGTCTGTCCCCAAACTCCCTCAACTTGGGGTGGGGGGCGCGGGACTGGAACAATAGGCAAGAAAACAATGCCTGACCCGGTCCTCCAGGACCGGGCGGAGGGGAGCCCCCCGACGCCTCCCTTCCCTTCAGGTGGGGTGGGGGAGGGGCGTTCGAGCGCCGGGAGGTCTCCGGAGGGTGCGGCCGGGGGCGCCCGGCGCGCGTCGCCCCCGGGGTCCCGCCGCCCCCCGTGGGCCATCCTCGTACCTTGGTGGACAGCCACGCTGCACGCGTGCCCATCACAGTAGACCAGCGGGTTCTCGGCCCAGCCCCTCTCGTCCGAACATACGCAGCAGCCTCCTACCATCTCCTTCATACTCCCATGAGCTCCCTCCGGGGCTGGGGCGGGGGGCCGGCCAGCGGGGGTCGGGGGTCAGGGGGGAGGGAGGGAGCGGGGGGCCGCGCGCCTCCTCGCTCCCTCCTCCTCCTCCGCCGCCGCCGCCGCTTCTTTTCTTTGCCTCCTCCTTCCTCCTCCTCGGCGTCCTCCTCCTCCTCCTCCTCGCTCGCTCTGTCTGGCC